GACCCGTCGCGCGGTTTCTTCGAGCTGCTGACGCGCAAAGTCAACGACCAGAGCAGCGTTATCGGCCGCATCTTTCCGCGACCCGGCCGCGTGTTCTGGGCACTCGTGGACAAGGTCCGCGAAGACATCATCATGGAGTATATTACGCCACTGCTCGACGAGACGCACGAGCGTAACCTGCCGGCCTACTTAACGGCCGTGTCCGGTCTCTTTGAGCAGGCCCTGCAGTTTCTCAAGGCGCTGGAGCCGCCCAAATCGCCTGACGCTGACCAGCCAAATAAAGCAGCTGGACCAGCCAAGACGCATACCAAGAACACCCCGAGCGCCGCGTCTGATGAGTTTCAGCGACCGGGGAAGCTGAAGCGGAGAAGCACAAAGACGCTGCCGGCAGCGCCCGTCCCCGGAGCGGCGGACGAGGAAGAAGACGAAGACGACGAGGATGCGTGGCGACCCAAGGCCCGGCTTCGGAAAGTGCGCGAGCTTGCCTTCCGGACATTTGAGCCGCACCTCGACCTGTATCTGCAGGAAGAGCTCGATTACTTTACGAAGCACACCGAGACCGAGGTACGCATGTGGGACAAGAAGCTGTCAGAACAGGACGCCAATGTGGAGTCGTTTTACATGGCCAACTTCAACCGGCAAGAGGACAAGAAGGACTTCCTGAGCTCGTTCAAAAAGGTCGTTATGATGCCCGTGACCGTCTTGCCCAGCTTGCCTGGTCAGCTCAACCCTTTTGCGAGCGGCACCAGCAGCGGCGCCAAAGCCCCAGGCGCGAGCGACTCCAACCTCTCCCTCCCGCCGCAATCACAAGCACTCTCAACGACAGCCTCGGGACGGGTGACACCGAACCCGCTCAGCCAGCTGCCCGAAAAGGCACCCGACGACGAGCTGGCGGCCAAAGCGGCCCTCATGACGTCGCGGCTGGAGGGCATCAAGTCGCTCTTCAGTCTTGAGATGGCGCTCAACCTTGTGCACGCGGCCAAGACGAGTCTCGGCCGCGCGGCCGTCTTTGTCCAGCTGGGCGGCCAGGCCGCCGGAGAGGCGCGCGAACAGTGCGAGACCATCTTTGTGGTGTTGTTGCGTATCTTGGGCAATGGCCACGTCAAGCAGGGTTTTGATCGCGCTGTCGAGCACCTGTCGCAGTACAACCCGCGCACTGTCGTCGTCCGGCCGACATCAACTGTCTCGACCACTGGCGAAGGCAGCAACGGCGGCGCCTCCGAAAAGGATCCCGCCGCCCATGCCAGCAATGCCGGCCCTGGCGACGGGGGGGTCGCACCGCTCATGACGTTCATCGAGCTTGTCAACGTGGGTGACCTGATCTCACAAATGATCGACGTGTTCTACGAGCAGCAGCTGGCCGGGCCCAATATTGCCGACCGCAACGACTTTCTCGACCCGGCAGGCCTGGCCAAGAAGCGGTTCGAGCAGATGATTGACGAGAGCGTGGCGGCGGGACTCAACAAGGGCATCGATGTCCTCATGGACGAGGTCGAGTACATTTGCGCCACCACGCAGAAGCCGACCGACTACTATCCGGAAGCCGCCGAGGCCGTTGCCGAGAGCGGCCTATTTTCCTTGAACGGCACGCTTGCCAGTGTCACCGGTGTTGTTGGCGGCGGGGGTGATGGCACATCCACGCCCAGGTCCGGCGGGTCGGCCATCGTCCCTGGCGCCCCCGGCAGCGGCGGCGCCCCTGCAGCCAGTGCCTTGGATCCCTTTGCTGCCGCCGACATTGGCCCTACGAAAACGGCGCTGCGCGTCGTCGACCTCGTGCGCGGCCACACCAACATGCTCAAGGGCAGCACGGAAAAGACGATGCTCGATGTGTTCAACGGCGAGGTCGGCCTGCGGCTGTTCACGGCCGTCTGCAAGCACCTCAAGCGGCAGCGCATCAGCATGGCCGGTGCGGTGCATGTGATTGCCGACATGACGCTCTACTTTGACTATGTGCGGACGCTGCGCAACCCGGACCTGCTGGCGTACTTCCGGGCGCTGCGCGAGCTGAGCCAGCTGTACCTGATCGATGCGCGGCACCACGCCAAGGAGATGGCGGTGATCATTGCAGACGGCGACCGGTTCGGCGGCGTGTTCCGGGCCGAGGAGGTGTACGAGTTTGCCGAGCGGCGGGCCGACTGGTACCAAGTCAAGCGAAACGTGGAGCGGGCCATGTACGGTCTGGAGTGTTCTGTAATGTAGGGCAGGGCACCGTCCCTCGCCTCCATACAGAGATCTTTCATAGCCATTTTCTTCTTTTTCTTTTTCTTTTTAACTTCTTTTTTTTGGATGTACCAGCGCTACAAATCAATACCAAAGTTCTTTTCAATGGTTGTTATAAGCAACGATGCCAGAGTTGTGGTTCCGTTTGTATATGTGAGCTCACAGACGTGTGCCGTGAGATGAGATGAAATGCAATTGCGAAAGTACACTTTGAACGCCGTACAGTCCTTGTTCTTTTATGTTTTTGCCTAACCCGTAACGCCATACATTCCCAAAGTCAACCCAGACAAACCAGTCTTCCCCTACTTCCGTCCGAAATCCAGCCGGCGGGCAACCTTGGCACCGCGGTCTTGTTCGTCGCCCGTGTTTGGCCCGCTGCCACCGCCCACGGCGCCGGGCCGGCGCTTGAGGTCAGCAGCCATCCGGGCGGCCTCCCGCTCGCGCTCCTTCTCCTTCTCGGCGGCTGCCACATTGCGCCGCGGCAGATCCTGGACGGGGGTCGGGCGCGGGTCGGCGTGCCACCACGGGTGCGCCAGCATAGCACGCGCCGTGATGCGGCGCCGCGGGTCGAGCACAAGCGTCTTCATCAGCAAGTCGACGCCCTCGGAGCCCACGGTGCCAAAGGGCCCCAGGAAGGTGTCGCGCGTGGCCACGGGGTACACGCGGTCGGTGGGGACGGTGTATGAGTCGAGGCGGGTCACGCCGGGCCAGTTGTCCTCGTTGGGCGTGCCGAGGGCGCGGCAGATGAGGCCGATCTGCTCGACCTCGGTGTTGCCCGGCAGGTACGGGTTGCGGATGACGAGCTCGGCAAAGACGAGGCCGACGGACCACACATCCACGGTGCCAGTGTAGTGGCGCGCACCGAACAGCAGCTCCGGCGGGCGATACCAGCGGGTAATGACGTTGGCGGTCATGGGCCGGTAGGGGTCGGCACACGACCGGGCGAGACCGAAATCAGCAAGCTTGAGGGCGCCGTCGGCGGCAACCAGCAAGTTGTTGGGCTTGATGTCGCGGTGGAGCACGGCGCGGTCATGGCAGAAGGCGACGGCACGGCAGAGCATGCCCATCCAGGCCTTGATGTCGGCGGCGCCGTAGCGGACGGCGGCGGTGTCGCGGATCAGCATTTCGAGGTCGCCGCGGGGGAGATGCTCGAGGACGAGACATAGGTTCTGGTCGCGGGTGCTGTAGACGCTGTGCATGCGGATGATGTTGGCGTGGTGCAGTTCCTGCAGAAACTTGATCTCGCGGACGGCGTCGGGCGCGATGCCGTCGCTGTACTCCTTTTGGACCTTGATCTTCTTGATGGCAACGAGCTGCGTCGGGTCGGCGCGCAAACGGCCCTCGTAGACGACGGCGTAGGTGCCTTCGCCGAGCTCCTTGCCTCGAATGTACTTGTTCTTTTCCTCCTCGTTCAGACGCTCGGCGACATCCATTGTGATCGGATGTCGGTGCGGCTGTGGCTTTGCCCCCGCCGGCGCCGTGGCTCCGCCTCGTGGTGTGCCGCCATTCGAATGTGTCGGTGGCCGTGAGGGCAGGGTCGAGGCCGGTCGAGACGATGCCGCAGACGATGCTGCCAACACGTCCGTCGGGACGGCCAGCAGTGGCGATGCACTCATGGCGGCAGTGGCGCGCAGGAACAGGCCGACAAGAGAGAGAGGCGAAAGGAGAATACAAGAGGGACAAAAAGACAAAAGAAGACAGACACACGAGAGCGAGTGGTGTGTGTGGAGCGCGTACAAGACGCAAGGTGACGTGACTGGCGTGACGTGGAACGAGGCTTCAACAATCGTCAAGGCTGCCGCCAAATCAAAAAGACTAGGGATGGAGCTTGAGCCAAGCTGTCCATGGCAGGTGGTATAGCAGGCACCAGAGTCGCCTCTCAGTGGCTGAGGCGCTGGTGTGGCCGGATGTGGCTTGGGCGTGGTCTCGGGCTTTAGCGGAGTGCTGCCAGTCCGACAGTGCGCTGGCTCCACAATAAAATTACTCAGACCGCTGTCTTGCGCAAGCGTTAGGGCCTTTTGGGCGGCAGCACAGCTGGGACGTAGGGAGGAATAGCGCACAAACTGCGATCGGCTGGGCGTCAACAGCGACGCGCAAGAGACACCCGACAGACCATCGCGATCGTGACGTCATACCAACGCGTAGCTGCCTCCAGCGACAACAAGACGAAGCAAAAGAGGAAAGAGATGCCCACAATGCAGGAAAATCCTTGGCACGGAGAGGTTCTAGACTCGAGATTACCCTGCAATCCTCTGAAAGAAACCTCAGTGCTCGCGCAGAAAGAGAAAGACCCCCCGCGAAAAGCTAATTTTCTTATTGTCTTGGTTGGCTCATCGACGCTGCTCTTTCTGTTTGTTGTGTTTGTGGTTCACGAGCTACATTTTTGGCGGCCTTTTCATATAATTCCCTCCTCTTATTTTGTCACCCCCATTTTGAGGTATCATTGGATATTCACGGAGCGTCTCGCCGCAGCTTTCCACAGACAACTGCCGTTTGGTTCAGGGCCGCTCGCGCACAGAATCGGATTGTTGGGTCGTTGGCCATCGCTGTGAAAAGCCACCAACAGACAAAAAAGGGGTACAAAGACGCAACCACATCCAACGACATCGACGATACGTCGTACACACCCACCGTCTTGCAGGGGCTCGGGACGGCACATCCTGTCCGGCATACCTCCTGTCCGGCACACACGGCACACACTTCCTGGAACGAACTACTCTAATCTCTTGGCCTCGTCGCCCCTTGGCATCTCGTTCCTGACCACCACATCATACGCCACAATGGTTTCTTGTTTTTCCTATTGGGTAAGGAGTCTCCCGAGCGAGATGATTTGCGTACTTTGAATTTCTGTAAGACTTACTTCTAACCGCCTCAGTTACTGCCCGTCTTGTCCGGCTCCGTCTGGCTGGGCATGCTGATGGGCATGCTCATCGGCTGGGCCGTCGACACCCACCGCGAGCACTACGTCTCGATGGACGACAACCAGACCGTTGCCTACATCAGCGATATCGGCGCCTCGCCCAAGTTCAAGCCCATGTTCATCGCCCTCTGCGTCGTCACCACCGTCACGCTGGACCTGTCGTTCCTCGCCGACCGCTGGTTGCGCCATGCCGGCCGCCTCACGCCCAACGGCAGCACCGGTCAAAAGGTGCTCGGCGTTCTGACCATTGTCTTTGCCCTGCTCGGCACCGCGGGCCTCATCCTGCTGTCCGTCTTTGACGTCGCCCACCACAAACGCTTGCATGACGGCTTTCTCCTGCTGTTTTTGGGCGGCTATGTGCTGTCGGCCATCTGCATCTGCTGGGAGTACCAGCGCCTGGGCATCCACAACCGTCATCTGCGCATCCTCAGCATCTCCTTCTGGGTCAAGCTTAGCTTTGTCCTCGTCGAGGTCGTGCTCGCCATCATCTTTGTCTCCCTGACCTTCACCCATCACACCACCGGCGGTGCCATTGTCGAGTGGATTATTGCCTTTATCTTTGCGCTCTACGTCTTCTCCTTCTGCATCGACCTGTACCCGGCCGTCCGCACACGTCACCTCAAGGGCCGCTACCGCGAAAAGCACGGCCCCAACGGCAGCGGCAGCGACGGCCCCAATAGCAGCGCCACCACAGGCGGCACGGCCATGGCCCAGGACGGCGACAACTACTACAACCCGGGCAACAGCCACACAGCGGGGCCGGGCGAGATGGAAGCGGCCAACGGCAGCTACCGTGGCTATACTGCGAATGCCAATGCAGCACCCCCAACGGCCCCGGGCTCCACTGGCTATTACGACAACACCTACGGCGAGAGCGCGGCGCGCGCGACGCGGTCGCCACGTACCAACAACCTCGCTGGCAACACGTTTGTCGAAGACGAAGTCAACGGCGGCAGCCAGCCGCTGAACCAGCCACGACAAACATACCAGCCAAGTCGGAGTTACCAGTAGCAGCGGGACACGGCTCTTTTGGACGAGAAATGACACGTGCTGGTTGTATAAAGTGATGCAATGGTGGTAATGAGATCTGCAGAGTATATAATTATCCTTTTGCATGGTTCGGTTTGGATTTCTTGCGTCTTTGTTTGGTGTTCTTGGTTTGTCGATGGATATAGTTGTTTTTTATTTTTATTTTGAGTTCGTATTTTTAAAAACATTTTTTTTAAAAATATCTGTGGCATATATCGATACAGTTTTGGTAAATATTTCGGGTACGGTAATACAAGTAGAGCAAACAAAACTTGACGTTATGAGATATGTTTGGGGGAATGTCCAAAATTAGAATATGGTAAATCAAACGAAAGAAATGAAATCAATAGGGAAATATAGAAAAAAAAAAAAAAAAGCAGCATGTGCCACCTGTCCGTTGTAAATTGGGAATCATGAACGTAAAGGAATGAAAACCCTGGGATATCCTGTTGCTTCGTCCAGAAAACGCCAGTAAGGTCTGAAACCGAAACCCAAGAAATGAGAAAGATGTGTGGAAGAGAAGACGAAAATCAACAAAGAAATGATAAGAAAATGGAACGAAATATTTCAGTTTAACAGAAACGATGAACATGGCAAAACCCAAAACCAACACGAACATGTAACATTGTAAAAGATCAGAAAAGAAAAAAGAGAAGCAAGACAGATCGTATTTCAAATGAAGAAAACGCGGGAAGCAGGGTAACTTGAAACAAATTCAGCCCTCGCCCTTTGTGTTCAACCTACGAGTACTCCTCGAGGTTTTCAAGGAAGCGCGAATCACGAACAGGGCTTGCGCTCTTCTCGGCCGGGTCGGTGATGGCTCTGGGCGGCGTGAACGCGGCTACGTTTACGCCCGAGTCGCTGGCTGGGGGCGGGACGGACACAAATGTGTTACCCTTGTCGTTCGCTCCACCGACATTGCCAGTGGCTGCGGCAGTCCCGGAGGTTCCGGCGGTCTCGGATATTTTCGTTTTGCCAGCAGCAGGCGAAGCGCCGCTGTAGTTGGCAAAAATGTTGTGCCCGATGAGGCCGAAACCACTACCGGCCACGCCGGGGACACCAGCATCGTTGCTGTAGTGGCTGCTGGCATAGCTGGTCCGATTTCCGGGAAGCGTGTAATCGGCGCTGGGAGTGTTGAGTGCGGCCGTGTTGCTCGAACGATTGGTGGATGCGGCGACGCCAGCAGCACCGGCAGTCCCGATAGCACCGACAGCACAGGCAGTACCAACCACGCCGGCGGTGCCTGCAAGGCCGGACGAACCAGAGGTACCAGTGGTGCCGGTAGTCTTTGCGCCCTCAGCAGGACCCATGGTCATGGGTGTCAGAGGACCCAGTTTCCCAAAGCCGCTGCCATACTGACCCTTGGAGGCGGCATCAGTGCCAGATTGGGGCGGAGCCAGCGCAGCGGCGTCCTTCTCGTACGAGTCCTTGGGTGCCGTGATACCCGTGAGCTCCTTTGAGTCGGGGAGACCCGACTTGCCCGAGGCACCTTGCTCCTTGAGATCCGCGGCACGGTCACCAGGTTGAGTAACGCTCGGGCCCTCGCTGCCTGTGGGAGTGTAGTACGCCTGGTTCACACTGTTGGGGCTGTTGCCCGGTTGCTCACCAAGGGTCTCCTTCCCCTGGCCAGAGGCCGGAGCGTCACCTTTAGACGAAGCAAGACCAGCAGCCGTCGCGCCACCTGCGGCGACAAGGGTACCGCCAGCAATGAGAGGCATCGTCAGGGAACCGCTTCCGACGCGGTCCTTATTATCCGAGGAATTCAGTGTGTGGCCACCAATAAACGTCCGCTCGGTGTCGGGCCGCTGCGAATCAGATCCGACGGCAGATGAACCCAGGTCTTTGGAGGGTGCAGGGCCTGCTGAGCCTGCCGTCGACGCCGTTGAGACACCAGTGCCCGTAGCCGCAGCCTTACCCGAGGTGGATGCGGCAGGTTCATTGCTTGCGGAAGCCGACGACTTGGACGGATCGCGCGAGAAGCGCGACTTCAGCCAAGACTTGACCTTGCTGTTGGAATTGGGTGACGATGCTGACTCGTCGGACAAAGGTGACACGGGCGACTTTGGTGTCGAAGCCTTGTCTGACGCCGACGAAATAGGTGCACCGACACCGGTACCAACACGTGCGCCGGGTGCAGTGCTAGAAGTAGTAGGGGCAGCAGGGGCAGCAGACGCAGGGCCGGAGCTGACACCGTTGGTGGTGCCAGGGGCGACAGATTTGGTCTGGGATCCAACACCAGCACCGACAGCACCGCCAGCGCCAACCACAGCGGCAGTGCCAGCGACGGCGCTACCGGAAATCTTGGACGGGACGTTGCCGCTGCTCTCAGGCTTCGTAGGCTCAACGTTGCTGTCCTTGGGCGTCTTGACGAACAGCCTGGAAAGTCTCCGGCTGGTGTTGCTGCCGCTCTTTTCCAGGGGAGCGTCGCTGCGATCCGCCGTCTCGTGGGTCGCCGGCGTCGCCATGGCGCCTGCACTGGGGGCCGCACTTGACGACGCATCACGAGCGGCGGGAGCCTTGGTGAAGGGCTGCGTCACAGGAGCTGTGGCAAGCGAAGATGAGTTGGTGATATCAGCGGCAGCCGTAGTCGTAGGAACAGACGGTTGTGTCGCACGAGAACCCGCACCCACAGCCGCACCCGTGGCGGCAGCACCGACGCCGATACCGGTACCGGTTCCGGCACTTCTGGGGACCGGACTAGTCGGGCTGCTCAGGGACGAAACATCGTTGGAGTGGAAGTCACTGGCAGCACTGGACGTGTCCGGAGCCGTCATCACTTCTTCCCCCGTGCCATGGCGGGCGGTTTCAGCAGCATCGTCCTTGGCACTGTGCTTACCCTTGCCGTTGACGACGTTGCTTGCCTTGTCAGTACGGTTGCCGGCATTGTCGCCGGTGGTGCTCGCGGCAGCAGCACCAGTACCAAGACCAAAGCCAATGGGAATGCCAAGGATTTTGCTATGTCTCTTGGCAGTCTTCTCTTCAGCCTTGCGGGCCTTTTCGTCCTCTGCATTTTGTTAGTGGATGCAATTGGAGGTTGGTAGAAACAGAATAAAAACAATGGGATGAGCTCACTCTTCAACTGGCGGTACATGGCCTTCATATCCTTGCCGCGCGCGTCGATTATGGCTGCTTCGGCCTTGCGCTCTTCGTCTTTCTCGCGCAGCTTGGCCTGGCGGTCATGCTCTGCTTGTGCCTTCTCGTGCATGTCATCGATGACGGGTTGCACGCGGCGAGTGGCAAGCCTGTCCACGTCGGTGCGGTTTATGAACTTGCCACCGCCAACATCGACCTGGTCCGAACGCGGGTAGTTGCTGATATATGCGTCCGCGCGTTCCTGCGCCAGGGAGTTGATCTTGGGCTCAATCTTGGACATGACCGACGGAGGCAATCTGCCCGAGTTGGCATAGACCTGCTCGTCAATGTCCTGCAGCTGTGACTTGACATTGCGTTGCGCGGCCAAGAGAACGTTCTGGCGGTCGCGGCGTCTCTTTTCCTCCACGTCGGAGATGCGGCTCGACAGGAGAGACATCTGGTTGCGGATCTCCTGCGGACGGAGGTGGTCGGAATTGATGTCACCGTCACTAGACGAGCGGCGACGCCGGAGACGGCCACGCATGGTCAGACGGCGCGACGTCTCGCCACCAGTCGAGGCACCAAGGCTCGGGTCCATGTAGTGGTCGCGGTACTCGCGGTCCTTGCCGTGCAGCTCGTGGAGCTTCTCGAGGCGCTCCTGGGCGAGTTTGTATGCCTGCTCCTGCACGTTGGGGACAGAGGAGCCGCCGGCACCGGCACCGGCGCCCGAAACCCCGCCCTCGACGCCGGGGCTGTACATTTTCTTGGCCAGGGCGACGGCCGAGGCGTGGAGGCCGTCGGCGTGCCTCTGGTCCTCCGTCTCATGGCCAACAGGGGGGTGCGAAGTGTACATCTGGCGGCCCAGGTTTGTGTAGGGCACGGAACCACCGTCGCCAACATAGCTGGCGCGGCTGCTAGCCGAACCGCGCGACTTGGCCGAAGCGCTGTGGGCGATGGTTGCGGCACTAAGAGCATTGGCGGCCGAAACCTTGGGGTCTGGAGGGCTGCTGACCAGAGAGTATGATGCAGTGTTGTCGGGGAAGTGCGACGACATGCTCTTCTGTTGGCGCAACGTTAGTGGGGTAGACTGAGCCCGGCTGCGCGTCCGCATTGACGTAGAGTGTGCCGAGCTGCCCCCAGCAGCGGTCGAGGCCGCACCAGAAAGAGACGTGGCGGCAGCGCTAGAGGCAAGGCCGGGCGTGGACTTGGCGTCCGTGTGGGACGCCTGCTTCATGGCGCCCTTGGCCGCACGCAGAGACGGCTGGTAACCGAGAGCGGCAATTTCGGGAATCGGTTTCTCGGGAGGGGCGGAAGCTCGCTTGGCAGAGAGAATCTGGCTATTGCGGAAGGCCTGATTGGCCGCGGAGTTGCCCCAGCCTTCGGACGATTTTCCGGACGGCTTGGTCGCCATGTTGGTGTTGGTGTTGGTGTTGACGTTGCTCGCGGTGGCCGTGCTCTCTCCTTGTAGCGTGGGAGACGTAAGCTCCGTAGAATCGGCGTTTGTTGGCTGAGATTGCGAGACGTTCCGCGACCGACCGTCAGGTGCCGACGGCGACTTTGCGCCAGCGGGTTTCGCGGAGACCAGAGCAGCACTGGCCGCGGCAGCCGCCTGGGTGGCCGCTTTCAGGGATGCCGAGTGAACGGACCCGCTGTTGCTGAAAATGGCCGGCGGGCTCTTGACCTTGGAAGCAGTCAGGGCGGCGGTGTTGGTGCTGTCCAGCTTGACGCCGACCGAGGGAAACGAGGGCAGGCTGCGTGGATCCGCATAGACCAAACGGCCAGACAGGTCTTTTAATATGCGGAGAAAAGCGTGTTAGTCGGCCGTCAAAGCGGAACGGAAATGCAGGATGTCAAGTGTGGGTGGCAACTTGTGGGATGTACTGCGATATTCGACAGGGATGTTTGATATATCCCGAATGCCTGGGATATGACAGCAACGAGATCCAGCAAATTGGAGAGGCAAGAAGGAGAGACAGATGAGGGGGGAAATGCGTGCAAGAGGGCGAGGGAAACGGGGAAGCCTTGGTAGTGCTGAACACTCTGCTGCAGAGCGCGGGTGAACAAATCAAGGCCCCGTTTGGCCCCAAGTGCAGTGCCTGATTTCTGATTGCCCGTCCCAGGGCTTTGCAGGTCGCCACTTGGCGATGCAACGGCAATCGGAGGAGCTGGGTGTTCCCTGGCATGAGGATAAAGCTGGGGATTGAGGATTTGAGGTACGACGCAGGGGAAAGGAAAGCTCGAAAGTAGAAGTGGTCATGTTCGACATTGCATCATTTGTTGTCGATGCGCTGAGCATGCCTGCACGTGCATGACTGTTCCTGCTCGGTGCGACTCACCTGGCTGGTTCTTGGCCTGCTGCTGCCTCGAGGAATACGAATGCCCGCTGTCGCGAGGCGCCGGCTGGCGTTGTGTCGCCGTGGACCCGTTCAGCGACATTGCCTTGATTGGCAGGCTTAGATGCCTACAGTGCAAATATCTCGGTTAGGTAGGAGAGGGCGTTTGATGATGCCTGCGTGTCGAAGTCGACTTTTGTTGACTGTGTTGTCGAGATGCTCTGCTCGGCCGAAGAGAAGGAGATGGTTTGTGATCGGAGTCGGTGATGATGCCAACAGGATCCGGTATGCCTGTCTCCGGTTTTTGTAGCAGGGAGGAGAGAAAAACCAAAGAAAATAAAAGACTTAAAAGATGAGATGGAGAGAATGGACGGTGAGAAAGTGGGCACGGCCATGTACAAAAAGGCAAAAAATAGCCAATTGAGCGGCAATGTCAGCAAAATGAGAATAAAAGGGCGCGAACAGACGAATAAAGGTGCAAACGACGTCACGGCACGTAGGGTGAGGTCGATCATTCAAAGGAAGCCCCGGGTTACCAGGACGAGCATGTGTGAAATAGAAAAAAGTCAGGTTTGGGAAAAAGATGGGAATAAGGAGAGCAGCGAGCGTTGCGTTTGTCGTGCTGTGGGAGCCTAGTCAGTGCCACTGCCCCAGAGCTGTGCGGGCAAGAGCAGCTTGGCAACTGGGTCTGGACAGATGAAGCTGGGGAGGGAAGGAGCTGCGAGCTGCCAGGCTCGCTGGGGCAGGAACATCTGCTGAGCTCCAGAGGGGCAAACAAACGACGTCATCAACTAGCAACAGCATCTGTTGGAGTTGGAGAACAGAGGCCTGGGCGTGTGTAAGTACCCCGTGCTAGCCGTTACTAGCGAGCTAGCGTCGTAGTCGCGACGGCGTGCCCTCCACACCAGGTTTCGTCGCATGAGATCGTACGTGTTCTGGCCTAGTCGACACTACACCCTTTCACGGCCAGACGGCCTTTGAGGTCGTGGGGCTTGTCCGATCATCCATGGTCGCACTTTCCCGAGTCTGGCCGACCTGGCCTGGAAGGTGGGTGCTGCAGGAACGGTCTGGGTGTAGCTTCCTCTTCCAGTATCCAGCCAGCCAGCTAAATATCTTCAAAAAATCGACTGTTGGTAATCCTCAAATCGCTCGCTGCCTCCTGGATATCCCGACCGCACGGAGTAACTTTCCATCTTCCACCACTGGTGTGCTGTGTGTCGGTCAGGTGTTTGTTGTCCGACGGCAACGTCAGCGGCTGTGCCTTTCGTTTGCGCCGGCTGTCCCTGTGAGGGCTACAAAGTACGACTTACCTGTCTCCATACAAAAACGAAGCAGATATGCGGAGACAAAGACACCGCGATAGACGTAATAAAAAACAGACACCGACAATGGGAGCGATGTACTGTCGAAGTCAACCAAAAGCATTCTGCTGCGATCTTTGTGTGCATAGTCGTAGAGCTGACTAACGCACGTTTGCCATTCGTGGTTCTTCAGGTTTTGTCCCTTCAACAAATAAAACAACCAGATATGATCCTTTCGCTGGTGGCCTACGGGCTGTGTTCAGAGGATCTAGACCCAGAACCACAAAAGGACCAAAGCATGTCCTGGCCCGTCTTTTCGTGGGTAGTTGTCTGCTGTTGCTGCCACATCGATTACTGTGCAAATGTGGTGGGGATAATTCCACTTGGAGACCTAAATGAGAAAGCCGAGCCAAAAACCTTGGTCAAAATACGCTAGTCCCGTTTCGGAATAAGTGGAGGAGAATTGGGTCAGATCCACGACCAAGAAGAACACCCACCAAAGATGACGCACAAAACCAATGTTTCTTTGGACCCACGTCAAGGAACAGTAGAAAGATTAGATGAACATGGAGAGACGAAAGTACGGAGCAAGACAATGGCACGCCCCTGCGCCAAATAAAAGTCCTCCAAATCTGCATCGGATAGGGCAGGAAGAAGCTCGTGAAAATATGAGAGATTAAAACCGGAATCTATGCAAGTGACATCGTGTTTTGCAAAAGTACATCGTACACTACGGGAGACGCAGCAATGTGGACCAAAAGGCGCAGCCGTGGCTTTGCATGGCGCGGACGTGGCCACGAGCGTATTGAGACATTGGATGAAAGTGAAAATAATGCAGATGGCAAATGTCCTGGCAAGACAAGACATATGCAGCCGCAATTACAGTTCAATGAGCCCTTGTACGACCCGGCTGAGACGCTGTCTTAAACTGGCACCGACAAACCCCACTCGTATTCACATTGCCGATTCAGGGTTCGGATGCATGTGTTTTTCGGCAGTCTCCTTATGTCTCATATCATAAAGTGGTATAAAGTGGTATCATTATCATGTCTATCGTTGAGGAGTGAGGCCTATGTCGCTCACTTCCTCCGGAATCGACCTTGTAGCCAGCATCGGTACATTTTCAATTTCATGGCCCGGTTGACAATCAGTCGCCGGTCTATGCCCATGTTCTCGAGTGTGAACGGTGCGTCCTCCTCCGAGTAGAGGGCCGCCGTATCCGCCGTGTCCGCCGTGTCCGCCGCGTCCCCGTCTTCCGCCGCCGGCGTCTCACCCTCGGTTGCCTCCGCAGACGCCTCGGGTTCGGCCACGCCCGTCCAGATCTTGACCAGTTCGTCCTTATCGAAAAAGTACACGCGCGTGCCGTCGCCGCGAATATAAAAGTTCTCCTCCAGGTACCGGCCCTTGCGGAACCGCACTTGGGCCAGGTCGCCGCGGCCGTAGTCGCGGAAGCAGACTATACCACCGGGCTTGACGAGACGCGCCACATTGTCCACGGCCTGCTTCCACTGGGTGGGCGACAGCGCCGAAAAGATAAACACCAGAATGGCAACGTCGACCGATGCAGGGCCCAGTCCGGGCGGTGCAGCCTGGTCGCCCGTGCCGGCTACATCCCAGACGTCGGCCTGCATGTGTTTTGTGTCGTATGCCTCGTCCTTGCGCATGACGTCGACGGCCGTCCTGCTAAAGTCGCAGGCGTGGATGCGCAGGTGCGGGTTGCGGTTGCGAGAGAGGATAGGAAACGCCGTGTTGCCCGCACCCGCACCAATCTCCAGGATGGTCTTGGGTCCCGCGTCGGGCTCACACACCTCGTTGAGGATGGGAAACTCTTGCTGGAGCCATTTCCGGTCCTTGAAAAAGTTGGCCGTGTTGTTCTTGTAGAACAGATTCCACCACTTGGCCGGGTCGCCATTGAAGCGAGCTTGTGGTTGATTGTCAGCTGCGGGTTCCAAAAAGGCAAACCGAACAGGGTGCAGTGAAAAGGCAATCAAAACAAAAAAAGTACTTGTTCAAGAATAGGATCAGATGGGAGCGAAAGACAAAAATGGTGTTTGTTTGTCATCAGGAATCAGATGAACTATGCTTTATTTTATACAAATCATCACTTCAATCCTGAACAAGGATGGGAGACCGCGGGCATTCATAAACCGAAAAGGAAGGGGTAGCCAAAACCTACATTTGTCAAAGTCCGACACGGGCGAGCTCCGTTGCAACTCATACTGTTTCTCCGAATATTCCTTGAATGCATCGTCGGTCTCGACATGGTCCCAGGCGTTGTACTCGAACACGTCGTCTTCTTGCGTCAGGAAGCGCTGTCCGAACATGAACGGGTCCGTCCGCTTCTGGTTGTTGCTCGGGTCGTGGGACCGGTGGGCAGGCACTTCGACCGCCGGCGTCTCAGCCGGCGTCGAAGCATCACCGGCCGCGAGGGAGGCCGCCGCAGCCGTGGCAACATCCTCGGCGGCAACAGGCAGGCCAGCAACTTGTTCGGCCATTTTCAGGCTTTGCGGTGCAGACAGGAAGTGAATAAAAAGAAAAGGGGAGGGAGAAAAGGAACGGCACAAACGATGCCCTTCGTCAGTCGAGGACTATCGAATCGAATCGCACGGGGCCTTGAACCGACACACGCGCATGGTGGGCGAAGCGGGAAGAAAAAAAAAACAAGCCACGCTTGAGGTCCAAAGAAAAATTTTAGAGGGAGGAAAAGGGACCGCAAAAACAGGCACGAAAAAAATTAGCTTTATACGGTGCCTGGAAACAGAGTCATGTGGCTGGTGCGGTTTGTGGCGGGATCCACTTTCCCGGCACTCAACTGGCAGCGGCTGTCACAGGCATGTTCTACAGCGTATTAGCTGCCAGGAAACAGACGACACCACTAACGCTCACAAGGTCAGGGGAAAAGCAGCTTTCGCGCAAGGAAGTCAGTCGTGAAGGGGCAGGAGTGTGTTATTATTCACTCGTTTCTTTTTATTAATTTTGACCCCAACTATCTCCACGGCCCCGGTGACACATCTCCCGCCAATGGCCGGCACGAGCATCATGGCCTCCAGAACCCTCCGCCGCCTCGCGCCAAGGCAATGCCGGTGTATGTCACATAACATGGCCCAGACAGCCTCAGCTTCTCCAGTCCCAGCATCGAGATCCTTCTCCTCCAATGCAGAAGCTCCTAAAAGAACCTCGCAAGCTGCCCCGTTACGAGCCAGGTCACGGACAGACCGCGCAGAACGCCGTTCCCTCTTCAACCTGGCCGCCGCCCTCGGCCAAGCAGCATCTGGCTCGGGTGGTCCACAGCAATCCATCACGACCGTGCGGACACTTCCGTACGCAGCCGGTGACTTGTTCTGCATTATCGCCAACGTGGACGCGTATGCCAAGTTTCTGCCGCACTGTACCCGCAGCCATGTCACCCAGTGGAGGAACACGCCGTCCCTACGCGCTGGATCGTCGTCCTCCTCCTGGCCCGCTCGTGCCGATCTCACCGTTGGCTGGGGTCCGCTCTCGCAGACGTATTCGTCCCGTGTCTACTGTGTCCCCAGCCACGGTGTCGTCGAGGCCGTATCGGGCCGGGCTGGTGCGCCGACACTGACCGCCGCGGAGCGCGCAGAGATTGGACTCGATACGACCGAGGACGAGGATGACAGGCGGTTGGGTGCCCAAACGGCCACGGATGACGACACATTCGAGAGCCTGGTGACGCGGTGGACCGTGGTGCCGTTGAAGGCGACCAGTGGTGACGGGGCAGCAGCAGGACCAGCAGCAGGACCAGCAGCACAACCGCCAAAAACAAAGGTGGAGCTGCATATTCGATTCCAGTTCCGCAGCCCGCTGTACCAAATGGCGGCTGCTCAAGTCGGTAATGAGATGGCGACCAAGATGATTGAAGCTTTTGAAATGCGGGCTGCTGAGTTGTTGGGCCGGAGGCTATGAGGCGCGGTTGGTATCATGGCTGATGGATGGGTTTCGGAGACGTTGAGGGTCTATTGAGGCCTTTCACTGACTCTCCTTCGAGTACATACTTGTGTCGCGCATGAACCTTACAAAGACCACAGGTTCATATAAAATGCACCATAGACTAGATAAAAGTATTGTTTGTCGTTTCAAGTGTACTGCGACAGTCTCTTTTTTATTAATAATTCATCTAATGTTAGATACTATCGTATTATTTTTTGGTTAAAAATCTAAACAAATACTCGCTTGGACCAATATGCAAAAAGGAGAGAAATTTAACAAAGATAAGTGACGAAAAAACCACAACAAAACACAAGCGAACCTAAAGCATAAGAAATCAAGAATACAATGAAACCACAAGCATCCGTCTCATACCAACAACTAACGCCGTCTGTACACGGACGGCGGCTTTCTGAGAGCTGCATTTGACAAAACCGATGTAGATTCTTTTGCTGAAGATGCATCTGAGTACCAAAGCAGCTCCCGACCTTCATCCGCCACGGTACAGCCTCGACCCCCAAGTTCCATAATACTCCAGACGACTAATGTATGCAGGATCATGAAAAACTTGAAAAGATCAACCCAAAAAGTAACAAAATTACCAAACAGAAAACAGCAAACAGCAAACACAAAACCAAAAGCACACGCATTCTACAACAAAGCAACAAGGGGAATCAAAACCGCCAGGAGGAAAACAAAGTAAGGTAGCCACAAAAGGCGTTGGAAAATAAAAGAAAGTACCCGACCGGGAACATCCAAGAAGAGAAGCCAAAATGCAGTAAGATAAACAACAAGGAAAGAGTCGTCGCCATGATTCGTGGGTACGGTTATTAGTCAGTCGTCGACCGGAGATAATAGCAAGTAAACTTGTTGGCTCAGACGTTCATGGGTCGTAGGATCATCGTGTTGTTGTTCTTATCTTCGTTGATCATTTCCGCCTGGGAGGCATGTGTGTTACTATGAGCAGGTCTCACAAGTAATGACTAGAGGATGGTGAAGAGAGAAACTTACCTCCTACCCGCCTTGGGTGGCTTGCCGCCCATGAACTGGAGGAAACTCGTGCCCGCATGTTTACCACTGCTGCTCTTTTTCTTTTCGTGCCGGACAGGATCGCCATTGACCACATTCGGTGGTACAGCCATGCGCACGCCGCCTGGACCAGGTCGCATCATCCCGGGCATCATGCCGGCCCACGGCCGCGGTGCACCGGCGCCTGGTTGCGGCATGCTCGGCCGCCCGGGCACGGGTATACCGCGCCCGTGGGGCATACCATGCATAGGGTGGTGGCCGCGGACACCGCCCACGGGGATGGCCCCGCCCGGGAAGCCTGGCATGTGCGCGCCGTTCATGGGTATGCCGTTCCGCAGTGGCGGCGTCTTGTCCATCGGCCACATGTGCATAGTTACCGACCAATCGGGTTGGACAACCTTCTCCCATATAGAAGGCAAGATAATCTCTCCGTTGGGCCCGATTAGGTCGTAGTGTCCCTCCAACACATGTGGGCCGATGGCTTCGACTTGAACAAAGGCCTGCTTGATGAGTTCTTCCATCCCAGCCCATGTCTGGCAGAGATTGAAGGGGAACTGGAACTTGCGCCCGACAGCGTCCTTAAACTTGATTGGCAGTTTCTCTGCCTTTTTCTTTTCCTCTTCCAGCTTGACTTTGGCCTCCTCAGAGAGTTTGGCGACCAGCGCTTTGTGTTCCTTCTTCTTCTCTTCCTCAGCTTCCTTGGCCGCCTCGGCCTTCTTTCTCTCTTCCTCTAGCTTCGACCGCGCTTCGATCTCTGCCTTGAGCTTGGCTTCCTCCTCGAGCTTTTTGCGCCATTCTATCTCCTCCTTCACCTTCTTTTCGGCCGCTTCTTTCGCCTCGATCTCCGCCTTGAAGTCGGCGGCCGCCTTTGCTCTGGCTGCAGCCTCGGCCGCCTCCATCTTGGCTTTCAGAGCAGCTTCGGCGGCGGCAGCAATCTCGGCCTCTCTCTTGACCCGTTCTTCCTCGTCGCGGCGTTCCTTTTCAAATTTGGCACGGGCCTCCGCCTCGATGCGAGCGATGGCCTGTTCTTGTTGTGCTTTCTTCTCCGCGTCGGCTTTTCGTTCGGCCTCCATGCGCTCGCGAGCATCCCGCTCGGCGTCGGCCTTGGCCTTGGCGAGCTCCTTTTTCTGCTCGTCTGCCTCTTTGCGGGCGCGCTCCATGCGGCGCTCAAACTCCAGTTCGGCCGCCTGCCGCATCTGGTCCTGTAATTGCTTCTGCTTAATCTCCTCTTCCTTAGCCTTCTTCTCCAATTGGAGAATTTCAAGCTGCTGCTTCATCCGTTCCACTTCTGGATCAGGCTTCTTCTCTGCGGGTGCTGGGGTGTGTGACTGGCCCGGCGCCTCGGTGGGTGGCGGAGGAGGCGCGTTGTACATATACGGGGGCATCGGCATGCCGTATTGTCCGGCGCCAAAGAAGTTGTTTTGGTAGGGGACCATGTCATAGCCTGCCGGGCGCTCGTTGTAATAAGCATGGCCACTTGTGAAGGGGTTCTGGTAATTGCCGTACTGGACCACTTGTCCACGGCTGCCGCCATAGGGAGGCGTGAATCCGCCGACGTGACTCTGCGCGTGGTGCGCATAGTACCCATTGGTGCCCTGCTGGGGGTAGCCACGAGTCCTGTACGTGCCGTACTCTTCGGACGGTTCCGTGCTCATGGCTGGCTGTGGCGGTGCCTGGACCGTCCGGTATGGGATGCTTTGTTGTTGACGCGCGGTACGCGAGTGTTTGCGCGAGGCGGTCCGGACAGATGCTCTGCGCTGGTGATCGTGGTGGTGTTGGTACTCGCCGCTGGCCGAGGCTGAGTCGGAAGGTTCGAGATCGCCGTAGTCCTCGCCCCAACTTTGCGAGGGAGAGTCGTATGAGCCCTGGGAGCTTTCGTCGTCGGTGATGGAGTCTGATTCGCGCGATGAACCGGTAGAATGGTGGTCGACGGAGTTGCTTGTGCGTATATGTCTGTTTATGTTGTATGATTATCAGCACCGTCTGATCAATAGGTGACAAACAAGGCCCTTTGCCTTTATCCTCTAATTATGTTTTATCATTGTTTTTTAACGTTTTCATTCACAATTCTGAACTTACGACATTGGGACGAGGAATCGTGGAGAAAGCCTGTCACTTGACGGCCCGCAGCAATTGTGCGCATAAACTGAAGAGCGTGGAGACTTCTGCGGTTTGTTCGAGAATCGTCCGGTGTGCGAACAGTCGATGCTCTGCGCTTTGTGGAGGCGTGCTTTCGAGAAACGAGTTGAGCGACCTGGCAAGAAAATGAGCGATGGCCGGTTTCCTAAGAGAGTCGAAAACAAACGGAATTGGCGGAGGGGCGTGATCCAAGAAAAGAGGGGGTAACTTGGTGTTTGTTTTGTCGCGCTTTTTCAATCTAGTCTCAATAGGGGCCAGGGGACGGCACGTCGGATTGGTAGCGTGTTCAGTTTTTGTGGACAGCCGGACGAATCTTTGTGCTAACGAGCGATAGTGTCTGGATTAGCGGATGTGCCCGAGTATTTGTTGTTTTGGTTTCTGTGTTGGTAGGGATGTGACAGGGGCGAAAGGCGTGACAGAATGGGTTCTCTGGTGATCAGACAAGAACGGGCTGTTGGATGGTGAGCGCTGCAAAAAGGAGGCGCCAAAACATCACCTCTGTGAATGGGGCAAGGGTTGGTATTTAAAGCGATGAATGGAGATTGCAGAGGAAAAGGCCAGGCAGGCCCCGGCCCAGGCGAGCAATACTCTATCGTGCTGCAGTGCTGCGGCTTGCTGTGGGTATTTCGGAAAGCCTGCCAACCCAGCCAACATGCAGAGGCAGAGTCCGCTTTCTTTGATCCGCTCCGCACTGGCGATTGGGCCTTAAAGTTGATGGGGCTGAATTGCATCGTTTCGCAGTTGCGGTGACAAGTTGACTCGTAATAACTGGTAAGGCATGGGAAAAAATGGAGAGTGGAGACGAGGGCAGACAAAACAAACAGTAAAAAGGTGAGCAGTAGATTGGGATTGGGCGCGGCAGGGATCGCAAAAGGGCAAGAGGGAACGAGAGGGAATAGGTGCTGCCCAGCCAAATGGCAAAGCCAAGGTGGTCCAGTCCCGAGCGAATTTTGTTTTGCGGTGAGAGTGCAGGGAGTGAAAATGGTGTGCAGGGCTGGCAGAACTTGCTAGAATTGGGATGACCTGAGGAATGCCGGGTAATAAAACTACGTACTCGTACTGGCCAAGACAGCTGCGGCAACAGAGAATCTCTCGCTGCAAAAGGTTATACGGTTGCCAATCGGACGGGAACATACGGGTGCGGTATTGTCGCCGTCGTCGCCGTCGGTGTGAAAGCGAAGTCGATGCCACAGAGCAGCGGCAGACGGACTGGACCTGCAAAAAATCTGCCTTTTCTCTCCCCTCGTCGTCGTCGAGATGTGTAGTGGTTGTGGAATTGTGGCGGACGGCGGCCTTGCAGCGAATTCAACCTCTTCCTGTGACAAACTGGCAGTCACAAAGAGAGGCAGAAGGAAGCCAGGAAAGGACGGGAGAAGGCTGGAAGGAGGAATGCGGGCGCGGAGGAGATATTATACAGGGACTGAAGGAGCGTATGACGGAGAGAGAGGGTGAGAGCGACGACTAGGAGAGCAAGGGGGAGGTGCTGCCTTGGGAAGAGAAATTTCTGAGGATTTCTGTGTTTTTCGATGTGCCGTTTCGCGGTGGGAACGGCGGTGGGAACGGCGGTGGGAGCCCTGATGGTCTAGAATTGGTGGCCACGGGCACTTCGCCATGTTCCCCATCTTTCGGACGAATTCGATGGTGTGGGAATCGTGAGTGTCCGAGTGACCAAACAAACACAGTTGTCGACTTGCCTGGTGCAACTCGGGCTGTTGTTACAGGGCCTCCTGCACGCTAAAGCTGTCAGCTCAAGGCCGGCAAAGGAGGGGGGCTACCATGTGCGTCGGAGACGCAAGGGCTCTTCTCCTATTCCTATTTGATTTTCGTTCTCATCCATTTTCCCATTTGCGCGGGACGGTAGGCAGACCGACTAGGGCAATATCAGCTGCTGTACAGGCGAAAAATACAAGAGGCAGAAGGCCGGTGGGCAATGGAGGAACGGAAAGGTGACCAGACATAGGGTTTATGCACAAATGGAGGGCGGCAAATGAGGTAGATGCGGGCACCCATCGTGCATCTGCGCCTGCGTGCGTCGTGGGACAAGCTGAGGCACCACGATGGGGGCACACAAGAGGCCATTCCCTCTAATGGTCCTCTTCCTCTTTGTGGTACTGACGGAGTGTCGTCTCTGGCCAGACTGCCATGCCAAAGTGCCAGACAGACCGGCAGACAGCGTGTCCGTGTCTATGATGTGTGACATGTCCATCACAGGCAGAATTTGGCGGTGGGCGGAGTGCAAGGCAACAAGGCCAAAGCGGTCTGGGCTGGACTAGCCTCGATTTTGCCGTATTTTGACCACTGCTTCCGATGTCTAGACAGTTTGTGATCAACACCTTGCAGGGAAAGAGAGGGGCGGAGGGCAGTTGGGTGGGGGGGGGGGGGGGCGGTTTCTGTCTTTGGACAAGGTTCCGTTTTGCGCTTCGGCCCAATCTCTCGTCTTCCCTGCTTGTCCTTTTTGCCCACACTCCACCGTTGTGGAAAGACGACCAGGCCAAAGATGGCGAGGAGGGGCATTCTGGCCTTCCAGAAAGGGAAACGGAACGAAAACTGTCCACAGAAGACGACTGGAGGGGCGGGAGCAGCAGCACGCCGCCAAGTAATACGACGCTGGCGGGGAACAAGATATGGCACGATATCATCGCAGGGCAGATCTTGTGGCCAGGCCACGAGAGGCCATCGTCATACCATCGATGCCACTGTTCTGGCAATGACATGCAGAGAACGGCAGAGGAAAAAGTAGAGTGACTCCAACGTTCCCACGATGCTGCGCCGTTTCGGCTTGCCGTTGGCCTGGTGTTTTGTTCGTCTACCCGGCAAAATGATTGTGCCGTTTGTCGCTTTGCTACTGTTGCAGCCCTGAAACGCCCCCGGTCGAATGTGGGGCTACGGTAGACGACGTGATGAGCGTGGTCTTGTCAGGCTTGTAGTATTTCGGGAGACGACCGGCGGAGACATTAGGCTGGACCGTGGTGATATGCGAGTTGGCGTTGGCGATGGAGGCACTGGCGATGTGCAAAAGGTGGGCGATGGCGTGTAAGGCCTGGGTGGCAAAAAACCAAGACACATTGGTTTGGGTTGCGCCTTCTTGTTTCTATCTTGCATTCATCGGATCGTACTTTCCTCATAAACATGTCACGTACGCACGCCAGCAGGAGCGAGAGGCGTTTGCAGCCAACACAGCTTCCCGTTTCGGCTATCCTGTGTAAGCAAGAGAACTACATCAGGGGACGGAACAGCCGGGCTAGAATAGGCAAGAGCAGCTGGACTTGACTAATACGTAGCAACTCGGTATTCGACAAGCCCTCAACAAACCCAATACGTACAAGCACTTCAAGGTGGCCGACAAACCAAGATGCAAGCGTGGCTTGTGTTTCTTTGCATTTGCTCGCGCTTATGATTGGGCACCGAGTGGTTGGCTAGGCATCGCCCTTCCCTGTCGTTGGGTAGGGAGGCGGAATGCCGCAGCATGCAGAAGACACGGGGCAATTCTCTCGCAAAAAAAAGATCAAAACAAAACAAATAGAAATAGAGCACATGACCTATTGCCGACTTACATCATGGGCCGGAAAGAGGCAGTTGGTGATCGTTCATGGCGTCGTGATCAGCACGTTACTTCTGGATCGTCTTCTCTTGCCCGTTTTGTACGCCAGGAGGAAATAATAGTGGGACTCGCCAACCGCCTGCAATGGCAAAAGTTCTTTACACGTAAAACTCAAAAGTCAATATCAACAAAACGCGAACATCAACTCCAGCAATACTGTTTACCTGGCTCAAATGCAAAAGTATGCACAGGGGGTTGCAGTGCATATAAACAAAAAACTGCACAAACGGGACGGTATTGGATAAACAAAGCACATAAACAGACGCAGCTGCACACTTGGCCAAGGAAAAGTATATAGCGCTCTGATAGGTTCATGATTTTTGTCTGTGTAATGGCCGACAACAAGAGCCATGATTTGCCGCATCGTTTTCACACCCCAGCACATTATTTCGTGCCACCATGAAGGTTGGCGAGATCGAGAAGCGTGCAATGGGCATGTCTATGTCTGATATACCCTTCACATCGATAGCACAGGGACGAAGTGAGTCAACTTACCGGAAAAGAAACCAAAATTAAGAGGCAAAATGTCAGTTGTCGTCAAAGCGTCTCTTTGTACTCCCTATGTACTCCAACCAAGAACCAAGAAGAAACACATAAGAATGCAGAAAGCTTCAACAAAAGGCGCCAAGGTGTCCGTGGCACCCACAATCTGTGACACCTCGTAAGCCTAAAAGAACAAAAACGACCTACGAAGCCAAATGTAAATCATGACAAGAGACACGAAAGAGCCTCTTGACAGGCTGGATGCCAGTCGTTGAAGCGGGGCGACATTGGTGCAGCAGGTGGGGGACAGGCGATGCATCGCATGTGGACTCTCATGCAGCTCTACGCAGGCAGGCCTTACTGCTAGCAAATCAGCCTGTCGTGTCATGTCTGCCGATAGACACAATTTCCACAGCTGCCTCGGTGTTTCCTCTGTCTGTTTGCTGTTTTGATGGACGGGAAAGTCGTGGCGGAGGTTTTGCTGTGATTGTCGTGTGATGCAAGGTCGATGATGCGGATTAGGTTGCACCTAGAGCAGGCAGCCGGGCTGACCCATGGGCCGGAAGTGGGCACTAACTAGCAGCCGGATTGGAACGGCCTCCAACTTGCTGTCGTCTTAAAGTCACCAACCCATGACCGGCCCGTGCCGTTGTCATGAGCCGGCCATATGAGCGGCCGGGGTCTCCCTGCTGAAGCTGCCAGAACGGATAGCTCTAAAAAGAACTAGCCAACCCACGGGTATCGATAACGTCAAGCAGCTTGCTATATCGCGTCAGAGACGCGATACAAATTATCTGTGAGACCCGTTCTGGAACCAGATGCCGTTCGTTCAAGAAGTTGGACGGGAGACACATGGTACCGGAACCGGGACCAGGACTAACACGACGGCTGGAGAAGAGACGATAGACGGCCACTTTTGGGGGGTCGACAGCCGTGCCAGAAATAAAAGAGCTCCGGTGGAAGGCCGTCCGTCGTCGCAGACAATCGTCATTTGTCGATGTTCACGGTGGCTTGGCATGAGATGAAGACGACTGGCGAGGCAATCGTGAGGAGGATACCGTGGCCGTCATGTAGAGGGAATGATCGCCCGAGGTTGTTGAGTTTCAGTTAAACAGAATTGTAGTGTCATATCTCGTTGGCCATTTACCAGAACTCAATGTGTCTTCGCCAACTGCCGTTATGTGACATCGGATGGGATAAAAGGGTTGGTGATATTGAGGGAAGGCGCCGAGATGAAGTTCTAAGCCAAAACTAAAGTGTGCATCTTTCGGCGCTTAGCTAGTGCTTACCGCATCCGCGGCGGTATTATTAGAGGAGGACGCAGTGCGACGTAATAATACTGCCCGCTCGGTCTCTTTTCTCTTTCGCAGAAAATGACAGCGATCATTACTTGCAATGCACATTTCGCTTTTCGGCAATCAAGAGCGGTGCACCGACTAGGCCGGGATGGCCGTAAGCGAGACTGATGTGCCTACCGATGCATCGGCAGGCCCTGTCCCATCAACGACATACGACCGGTTCACCATCGCGCCCGAGGACGTCGTGGTCCACAAGTGGTCCTGCAACGCGGGTACACCCACGAGCGCTGTCGTCGTTCTGCAGCACGGTTTCGGCGAATATGCCGAGCGCTACATATCATCACACTACAAACTGATCCCGAAACTGCAGGCGGAAGGTTTTGAGGTGTGGGCGCTCGACTTTTATGGCCACGGACGATCCCCCGGCGATCGCGGAATGGTCAATGTGGTGATGGCAGTCAGGCACCACCTCGAGGTTCGAAAGCGCGCCACCGAGCGAGGGCTGCCAGTCTTTCTGTTTGGCCACTCGCTCGGCGGCCTCGTCACGGCGGGCAGTGTCACCTCGTCGCCCGACGACATCGCTGGTGTCGTTTTGTCCAGCCCGGTCCTGCCAGCTGCCATGTCCGGACTGGGCCAGGCTGCGCTCCAGGTGGTCGCCAGCATCGTGCCGAAGACCAAGGTCCCGCTTCCCCGGCCGCCACTGGACGAGCTGTGCCACGACCGGGAGCAAGTCCGGATCCTGATGGAAGACCCTCTGAAGTACAAAAGCGGTATTTCGTTCTCTGTCGCGTCGACCGCGGTGAAAGTCGTCAATCTCGTGTGGGCGGCCGTGGACAAATGGACAGCTCCGACGTTGGCGATCCACGGCACTGCCGACTCTCGCGCTGAGCATCGGCAGTGCCAGAGTTTCGTGGACAAGATTGCATCTCAAGACAAGGAGCTGTTTTCTATCGAAGGCGGTTACCACGAACTGCTCAACGCTCTTGAGCCCGAAGAGACCTTTCGACATGTGGTCGAATGGCTCCATAGCCGTATTGCTTCATAACCATCCAACAAGAGTTGTTACAATTTCCAGTAGATTTCCCGTGGGGAAGGTTGTTTATTTGCCGTTGGTATTATGAGTACTCTAACGAGCGACACAACTGGTCTGGTGCAATATAACATTGGTGTCCCTGGCCGTTCAAAACACGGTCAAAGCTGCCCGGGGTGCCAAGGCTGGCTGGCCACTGACACGGTCGCAAGCTAAGCACGGATTTAGGAAAGTCTGCGACGTCCTTCCAGCAAAACAGGAGCCGCAGAATACTAAAAATCCGTAGTGGGACATTAGGCAGCGCCATTCGAATTCCGGTCCTTCTTATATAAAGCCTTGATTGTGTTTGAATGGCACACAGAGACCAAAGAAAACAACTTTAGATCAATGGCTATGTGCACGCACACCCCTTTATGTCGACGAACCCAGACCAACATACTTTCGACTCCCTTTGTAAGTCCCAGCGCGGCCCTTGCTCAATTCGCCTCATTAGCAGTTGCCCATGGAGCCTAGCCAATCCGAAGTAGTAGCCCATCGTGCTACGAGGTCGACCGTCTTTACCAGGCTGTTGTTTATTGGCGCCGTCGTTGCCCTACTACCCAAGATCCTGGCTTTGTTCATCCTACGCAAACTCTTGGGGCCTCGCTCAGACGTTCCGGGGGATCTACAGCGATCGATTGTTCGCGGGTGTGTGCTACAATCGTCTCCCTTTTCTTACTGATTTGCTCAAACTATTAGCTTTGTCGTTACTAATCCTTGCTGCTAGAGCCACTACCTTGCCGTTGCGCCTTTTGCATGGCCGTCGCCCACCGTTTGATGTCGAGTCCGTGCTGGCGGCGCCCCGTTTCAGGAACTACGACCGCCAGCTCTGCACCAAGGTCTCGACTGGGCTGGGATCGGCCTACTGGGTTTGCAAGGGACGCCCGCGCGGCTCGTCACAGCCGCCGCGGACGCAGCATCCAGACCCGCGCGAGAGCGACCTCGTGCTCTTCTATCTGCATGGCGGCGCCTACGTGTATGGCGAACCTTTGGGCTCGACGCTGCTTCTGCTGAGGGCCGCCGAAATCGCGGCCGCGCGCGGCGTCAATGTCAGCATCTTCACCGTCGGCTACACGCTGGCGCCAACCGGCACGTTTCCCCTGCAGCAGCGGCAGGCGGTGGCGGCGTACCGGTATCTGCTGGATGTCGAGCACGTCTCACCCGACAAGATTGTCGTGAGCGGCGAATCGGCGGGCGCGCACCTGGCCCTGACGTGCCTGATGGGCATTGCCCAGGCAAAGCTTCCGACACCGGCGGCCTCGCTCCTGCTCTTCCCTTGGATCAGCCTGACGAACTCGTCACCGTCCTTTGAGCGGAACAAGTACAAGGACGTACTCACCAAGTCACTTCTGGACCGCTGTGCCGCAGAGGTGCTTGGTAAAGACGCAGGAGCAGGAGCAGGAGCAGGAATGGACTCCAACATTTACGAGGGCGTCAACTGGGACCAGTTGGAGCTTGTGGACCTGACGCGCCAGCCAACCAAGGGCAAAGGCCCGAGGCCCCTGGCTTGGAACCAGATTCTTCCGTCCTTCACGTGGATCAATGTAGGTGAACACGACATGTTCTTCGATGACATCCAGACGTTTATTCGCCAGGCGGAAGCGGACGGAGCACGCGTTCAGCTGGATATGACGCAGAAGAAGCCGCACGGTTGGCACTCCGGCGACAGATCCAAGGCGAACGAATTCGTGCAAATGGACCCGGACGAGGCAGTGCCGGAAGGGATGCTTCCCGGCTGTGACAATGTTGGCCAGGCCCTCCTTCGGGTCTGGGACGAGGCCGTGAGTAAAAGCAGCCGGGCCAGGCCGTGACTGTATCGCCCCTCAAAACACGAGATGTCGTCTCAGGTGGACCGTTCTGCTTATCTATCCTCCAGTTGACGGTGCCGCGTACCAATAGTATTGGGGGTTTGCGGAACCACAAGAGGCAATCTACACGTCGCTTACTTGTGGGTGAGTGAGGTGCTTAAATCGATGGAGTTCTCCGTAGAAGCCATATACGCAGTCGTATCAAATACGTCAGATCCAGGCACGAGCCACTTTTGTTTTGTGTTTTAGTTGACGATAACTATCCACTCCTGGCCTGGTCCTCCACGTCAACCAGTATCACCAAGAGAGAACTGCATATCACACGCAGCGAAAAGCAGCGAAAAGCAACGAAAACCGACAGAAAAGACACCAAAACGTTGGCCCATTCATCACCAAGTAATAGACGGAATGGAAACCACCAAAGCATGGTCCAGTGGCTGGCGATCCAGCGGCGGGCGACGAAGTTGAAAAACCAACAAAAAGGACCGCGGCTCAGTCGAGACGGTCGAGCCCATGACAACACAATGCATGGTCAACAACCGCATGTGATGCACCACAGCGCGCCAAAGAAAAGTCTAGAGAAATCAGACTGGTTCTCCATTGCTTGCTTCACATGAAGGTTGAACCTTCCCCGCAAAATGGCTGGCGCTCTTTCCCCGCTACGGTCCTTTGAGATCCATTCTCCCTGCGAACGCCTAGGAAGGTGCAAGCACAATAAATAGAGCGGTGGGAAGGAGCGGTTCACGACACTTTGGGAAAGAGCCCCGTCGTGGGAGGGGACTAGTGTTTCCGGATGGTGCTTTCCCCGCGTTTCGATCTCGAGGATTTTGCGGACCTATGAGCTATTGTTGACTTTTGCCCATCTCGACCATCGAACAAAACATCGCACAAGAGAGCCAGCTGGTAAAATGCGGGGAGTGCAGCTAGACCGTACTTCCGAGGCCTTTCTTGTGCCAAGAGGAGGGAGCTCTAGCTGTCTTTGAGGACCGATTCTGGGCATGGTCGATGCCAAAGGGGTGGACGACATTCTGGGTGGCGGTTTCCCTCTTTGATTATGTCCAGATTAGGAAAGTACACGACTATCCCTGCCCGCCACTCCCTGTCACGATTCCATTGTCCTGTATCCATCGCTACACCACTCGTGTGACTACCAGTGTGCCTCTAATCGTACTTGTTACGCCTTTGGCCATTGTTGGTTACCATGGCCGACAATATCGTACAGAATAGGGTCTTCCTTGCGCTACGGGATGTTTGTGCCGTTCCAAGGGCTGGTCCAGTCCAACTCAGGTCCAACTCGCCTGCGACAGTCCCCGATCCAGATGCAGGTCTCAGCTGAGTACAAATAATCCTATATCCGTCGCTTTGAGGCACTTCGCGTGGTCGAGCCAATGGGTCCTGTTGCTCGGTTAGCCAAAACGGTGTCTGGATCTGGCTCTCTGACTCTTGTTTGCTGAAGAAATCTGTCGACCATCGAACAACCAAACAACGAACATCGACTCGTAATACGTCACAGCCAGATTCACCAAATTCAAATTCATCATCGGCATCCTTCACTCACACGTCACAATGAGCGACCACTCGAACAAGGACGCCGTTGCGGCCTTGGAGGAAATTGACAATGTTGCAACGCAGACAAGCAATGTCGAGGAGAAGGGTGTGGTTGAAGATACGGAAGCCAGCCACCGGCCGAGGGTATGTTTTTGTTTCTTTATTGTGTGAATTTGTGAATTCTTGCATCATTGTCAACGCGAGCTGACCTTGCCGTCACTAGCTGTCTGACATCCGGTTCATCCTCCTGCTGGTTGGATTCGGCATGGCCTTTATCGGCTCGCAGGTCCAACCGCTGATCTTCTCGTCAATTATCCCAGAGATCGCTGCCAGCCTCAACTCGCACGACTTGCTTATCTGGTTCTTCTGCACGCCCTATGTCGCCATCGGTGTCATTGCGCCCTTCATCGGGCCGTTGGCAGACCTCTTGGGCCGCAAGCCCATCGCCCTGGCCGGCGTGCTGTCGTCCATGGTCGGCATGATTGTGGCCGCCGCCACACCCACCGCCGCCGGCTACCTTGCCGGCATGGTCCTCACAGGCATTGGCATCGCCGCAGAAGAACTCATGGCCATCACGGCCATTGTCGAGATTGTGCCCACCCGCTACCGCGGCTACTACGTCGCCATCATGGTCGCCTGCTTCCTGCCGTTTGCTCCCGGCTCGCTGTACGGTGTGCTCCTTGCCCAGTACAGCTGGCGCTATTGTGCATGCTTCGTCGCCATCTGGAACTTTATCACGGCCATTCTCATCTTCTGCTTCTACAACCCGCCGCCCCGCACCAACGCCGCCGGCATGACCACGGCCGACAAGATCAAGCACATTGACTTTGTGGGCGGCCTCCTCATGACCGCTGGCCTTGTCATGTTTTTGGTGGGCTTCAACTGGGGCGGCCAGCAGTACCCGTGGCACGCGGCCCGTGTCATCGCCTTCCTGACCATTGGCAGCGCCCTGATTGTCATCTTCTGCCTGTACGAGGCCTATGTGGCGCCCTACCCCATGTTCCCCCGCCGTCTCATGCACCACACCCGCACATTCATCGCCCTCATGGTCGTCATTGCGATGGCCGGCATCAACTACATCCCGGTGCTCTTCTTCTGGGTCCTGCAGGCCGTCGCCGTCTACGACTCGGATCGGATCGAGCTTGGCATCCGCACGCTTCCGTTTGGTTTCTGCATTCTGGGCGGCGCACTCATCTCCGCCGTGATTGTGTCACGGTTCAAGTCCCACCTGCGTCTCATCATGTCGACGTTCTGCATCGTCCAAGTCGTCGCCATTGGCTCCATGGCCGCCGCGGACCCGTACAACATCAACACCATTTGGGCGCCCTTGGTCCTGGGCCTATTGGGTGTGGGCGGTGTGCTCATCCCCAACCAAATCATCATCACCGTTATCTGCCCGGACGATCTCATTGCCACGGCCACCAGCCTGACCGTCTGCTTGCGCGCCGTCGGCCAGGTCGTTGGCTTGAGCACCTTCTACACACAGTTTGTGTCCGTCCTCACGGCTAGGACGCTGAAGCTCGTCATCCCTGTTGCCATTAACGCGGGCATCTTTGACATTCCGACGCTCCAGAACATGATGCCCACGCTGGTGTCGATGCCATACAAGCTATGGGCCCCAACCATCAGTGCGCTGGACACGCCAGACAAGATTGACACGCTGCACCACGCGGTCGTGGATGCCTTTGGAGGCGCATTCCCACGTGTTTATTTCATCTCTATTGCCTTTGGTGTGACGGCGGTGATTGCCAGCTTCTTCATTGAGAGCCTGGGCAAGTTAATGGACGAGCACATTGCTGTGCCCTACTTTTAAGACGGCAGTGTTTGGAAAGAGATCTATCACTTTATGAACTCTCATACTGGATGCATTTTACGCAAAATCGCTATGAATGTTAATTTCTCGTTTGTACCGTTCTGCTTATTACGAAGATTTATTTTGACAAATTCACATTGTATCATTCAAACATCACACCGCCCCCTTTGCCAACATGAAAGTCTGTCGGTACGAGATAAGACGTATGCGGCTCTCGATCGTGCATCGTGGCGTAAGTTCATGCTCAGGTGTGTGTTGCACGATATAGCGTAGTGCGCCACCCAAGGCGAGATTTGGGCAGCAAAACAACCCAACCGCGGCCCAATGCCAACACCAATGGCCGGTGCCCAAATCCCCTGTCGTTTTTCTCCCATTCCATCACCCTATAGGGCTCCATATGAACGTTTTCGCCGCTGCGGCAACAGGGCCTCCCGATTTAACCTCACCATGCACGTCCAAGCCGGCATGCTCACCAAGTCACTTGATGTCTCCCGGGATCGTTGGGCACATATGCAAGCAGGGGCAGCCGAATAGATGCTGGAAATCGATGCCAAAGGACGTCGTCGAGTGTATTAAACGAAGGTGTGAATGAAAAACAAAGAGAGAAACCCCACCAGTACCGGGCTCGATGATCGCATGCACAGCTAGAAAGGTACGAGAATAAAAGACACGAAACGAGAAAACAATCACACCACAGACGCACGACTATCGTACAACAGCTGCCGGCTCACCAGCCAGCAGTTCCCGTGCTGCTGCGATCTCGGCCTCGTCGTATCCGCTCCAGTGCGCCTCCTTGGCCGTGTACCGCCGCACAATCTCCGAGAGCTTCTCCGTTGCCAGCTGCCCCAGACGCTCCACGGTCGCCGTGTCCGGCAGCGCAAAGTCTTCTGCGCCGTCACGGCTGCTGCTGTGGGCGCTGTCGTTCTTCTGCCTGGGCCACTTGCCCGCGTTCTTGAGCACAAACGACGTCACCAGCTTGAGGCCGTAGAAGCCCCGCAGGTAGTCGTCGCACAGCTCGATGCTCCGGCAGAACCGCTTGAGCGACTCGGCCGCGTACTTTTGTGTGGCCGCATCGCTGCCGCCGGCGGCCGTCGACGCTGCCATGTACTCAATCTCGCCGAGCCGCGCGTGGATGTTCCACGCATTCGGCGACAGCAGGAGCACCTCCTCGAGCGCATAGACGGACTGGGCGTAGAGCCCCTGCTCGAGGTAGACGTCGGCCAGCTCGGCCCAGGCCTCGGCGTCCGTGGGCGAAAAGTCGAGCAGCGCAGTCAGGCCGGCCACAGCCTCGGCGGCCTTTCCGGTCGACCGCAGCAAAGCGACCCGCCGTTTATGAATGGGCTTCTTTTGGTTAGCCAACCGCCACATGTTTTTGCCTGGCCTTTTGGATGGCTCTCCCCCTCAGACGCTTTTCATCGACTCACCACGTTCGTATTGTCCTTGGCCAGAATGTCGTCGTAGCCCTTGAGCACCGCCCGCAAGCTCGCATCGTCGTTTGCCTCGGCCTCCTGGACCAGCCCCTGCAAGGCCATGACCCGGTCGTTGTCGTCGCCGAACCGCTGCACAAGCCGCCGGACGCACTCCCGCGCCGACTCGAGATCGCCCGTCCGTAGGCACGAAATCAGCAGGTTCTCGTACGACAGCCAGACCTCGGGGCTCTCAATGGGCGACACAAGCGACTCCAGAGCCGATGCACCGGCTCTGCTGGGCAGGCTCTTCAGCACGGCCGGCGCGCGCTGCGACAGCGACAGCGCCTCGGCCGGCGTGAGGTGGTTCGGCGGGTGCAAGAGGGACGCCATTCGTAAGGCGTTTCGGAGAAAAGACGGTAGGCTTGTCGAAGTCGATTGATCGAGGTTTGGTCCCGTCACAATTGGGATGGGAGGCTGGGGCAGATGTCGATTGTATTCGTGAAGACGAGGTGAGCTTTCGATGAAGCTTTTCGCCAGCCAAGCAGAGCTCCTTCCAGTAACAGTAGCCCAATAACAGCGCTGATTAGCATACGTATCGCGATAATAGGGGGTTTGCGCCTACCTCACAGCGCTGTCACCGCCCGCTTAGCGGCAGTATTATGGTCCGTGCGTAAAGGACAGTGCGCAGGTGGCATGCTACGTACATATAGTGGGCCATACCTTCCTGTATGTGCACACCGCACTGTCCGTAGGTCGTCAACAAGAATAAACGTGGGGCGCATCCCACCACCATTACGGCAGCAGCACCAGCGCAGCTCTAGACGGCCCGCCATTCGGTTGATGACGAGGTCTTGGTTTCCGCCCAGCCACGATCCCGACACACACAATCCGCGACCCAGTCGACACGCGACCACACACGAGCGTCCTTCTTCCCGCACCGGGCTCACCCAGCGCCTTGTGTAGCTCGCTCCAGTCCTGCCCGCTCCAAGATGCATGCTGTCGCCGTGCCGCATCGACTGCCGTTCTCCTTTTCCTAGATCACGATCCCATTCCACGTTCCGGGCGCTGCCACGACGGCCGACGACCTACAACGCTGCGCCCAGTGCACACGGGACTACCGGCTATCGGAGGAGACGAGGACGTTACATATACGTAGTCGGTTGTTGGGGGGTTGGAGCGCCTACCGCCAGGCAGAGGCAAGATGTGAGTTCAGTCAAGTCTGGACCTTTTTTTGTCTTTGTTTCTTGTTTCTGACATACCAGGTTTGAAAAATCACTGCTCGACCTCATCCGCGGCCTGCGGCACCACAAGGGCAATGAAAAGGCATACATACAAAACTGCCTCAAGGAATGCCGTGCCGAAGTGCGCAGCCAGGACATGGACGTCAAGGCCACCGCCCTGCTCAAGCTCGTCTACCTCGAGATGGTCGGCCACGACATGTCCTGGGCCTCGTTCCACGTGCTCGAGGTGATGTCGTCTCAGAAGCTGCAGCAGAAGCGCATCGGCTACCTGGCCGCCGTGCAGAGCTTCCGGTCCGACACCGAGGTGCTGATGCTGGCCACCAACTTGCTCAAGAAGGACTTAAGCGCCACGTCGCCCATTGCCATCCAGCTGCCGATTGCCACGCTGCCACACATCATCACACCCTCGCTGGCACTGTCCGTGCTGCCGGATCTGTTGCCACGCCTCACGCACTCGCACCGCGTCATCCGCAAAAAGACCATCGTCACGCTCTACCGTATGGCCCTCGTCTATCCCGAGACGCTGCGTGCCGCCTGGCCCAAGATCAAGGAGCGTCTCATGGACCCGGCAGAAGACCCCAGCGTCACGACCGCCATCGTCAATGTGATTTGCGAGCTAGGATGGCGCCGGCCGCACGACTTCTTGCCGCTGGCCCCGCGTCTGTTTGAGCTGCTCGTCGGCACCAACAACAACTGGATGGCCATCAAGCTCATCAAGCTGTTTGCAACGCTGACGCCGCTCGAGCCGCGTCTCGTCCGCAAGCTACTGCCGCCGCTGACCGACTTCATCCGCACGACACCCGCCATGTCGCTCCTCTACGAGTGCATCAACGGCATTATCCAGGGCGGCATCCTCGGCAGCGACGACGACTCGTCGGGCCGTGAAGAGATTGCATCGCTGTGCGTGACGAAACTGCGGGGCATGATGATGATTGAAAACGACACAAACTGTGAGTATATCACGCATAAATGGAGAACTAGCAGTTGCACAGGTACAGCGACTAACCAGACAGTAAAATATGTTGCACTCCTCGCTTTTAACAAAATCGTGGCGACACATCCGTACTTGGTGGCACAACAAGAAGACGTCATTCTCGAGTGCATCGACAGCCCAGACATCAGCATCCGCATCAAGGCTCTCGATCTCGTCCAGGACATGGTCAGTAGCGACAATCTGGTCTCGATTGTCGGCCGTCTCATGCGCCAGCTGAAGCAGGCATCCTCGGCCGAGCCGGTCAAGCAGATTGAGGTGCGCCAGATGGAGTTCCGCGCCGAATCGGACGACGAGTTGGAAGGCGCGCGTCCGCCTGCCAAGAACAAGAACCAGGAGACGCCGCTGCCCGAAGACTACAAGATCGACGTCATCCACCGCATCCTCGCCATGTGCTCGCAAAACAACTACAGCAATCTCACCGACTTTGACTGGTACATTGATATCCTGACACAACTGTTACGGACGGCACCATCGCCAAGAGCAGCAGACGGCGACAGTGACAACGACGGTGGCGCCCTAGGCACATTGTCCGGGTCAGCGGCCGCCGCCAACGTCTCCGAGAAGATTGGCAGCGAGCTGCGAAATGTCGCTGTCAAGGTGCACGCACTACGTCCTGCTGCTGTTCGGGCGGCCGACGAGGTCATTGTCCAGCTGAGCTCTGAGGCGGCTTCGGCAGCTGCCGTGGGCGCGCAGGTGATGTCGACTGCGCTGAAACCGCTCGCTTGGATGACGGGCGAGTATTCTTTGTACCTGCTGTCCGCCAACGACACGCTCACGGGTCTCCTGCAGCTGCTGCCGCGCATCCGCTTCGCAGACGTACTCGCCACGTGCCTGCAGGCTGTCGTCAAGCTGTTCGCGTTTGTCGTCAGCGACGGCCAGGCCCACAACCTCGACCTCGGCTGGACACCGGAGCGGAAGTCCAACATCGCGCTGCTGCTGGCGCGGCTCGTGCACGCCATGGAGCCTCTGGTCCAGCACCCGCAGTTGGAGGTGCAGGAGCGCGCTGTGGAGTTTTCAGAGCTGCTCAAACTGGCTGCTGAGGCGGTCACCGCACAGCCTGTTTCGACCGATGAGGTGCAGCAGGACGCGCCGCTCCTGCTCACGGAGGCGATCCCGTCTCTGTTCCGCGGCTGGGAACTCAAGTCGGTGTCGGCGGCCGCACAGTACAATGTACCAATGCCGTCCGGTCTGGATCTGGACGAGCCCATTCACGCGAACCTAAACAAACTTTTGGCTGAAGCCGATTATCTGGCGGCTTTGCCTGGTGCGGCGGCCGTGTCCGCCGAAGAGAGCGAATTCGACTCGTACTACAACAACAAGCCAGCTGCTACGCACGTGTCGTCGGCCGAGCCGGCCATCAACCGGTTACAGGATGTGTCCGAACCGGCCGCCTCATCGTCGTTGTTGTACCAGCAGCGGCCGGATGAAGACGCCTACTTGGATGCCGACATTCTGGCACGGCGGCGTGCCGAGCGGCAAGAGCGCAACCGCGATGATCCCTTTTACATCCCGTCCACCGATGCGTCCCGCCTCCCAACACGAGACACTTCGACACCGATCCATGACATTCTCAAGAACGACAACGGTGAGGATCTGGATATCGACTCGATCCCTGTGATGCAGCTCGACCTCCAGACTCTCGGAACCAGCGGCGGTGGCGGTCAGACAGCAGCCGCATCGCTCTCGGCCGCGCAACAATTGCAAAAGCAGCAACAGCAACAGCGGCAACAACAACAACTGCATCAGCCGCAAAAGTCACTCAGCTCCCGCCCTCGGATCGTCATTGCCGCCGACGAGACGCTGAGCGGCACAAGTGGACGGTCCACGCCGCGCAACTACGAGTCGGAGACCGGGTCCAACGACAGCGGTGCCAACCGGCAGCGGGCCAAGAAGAGCGCCAAGCAGCACTCGCTTCTGCACGTCGACTCGAGCCACATTGGGATGTTGAGCCTCGAGGACAATGGCAGCAGTGTCGCCAGTGGCGGCCCGGGGCACAGCAGCTCCCGCTCCAGGACAGGTGCGGGCGGCAGCGGCAGCGTCTACGACTTGGAGCGTCAGAAGCGGGCGGATGCCGAGATGGCCCAGGCGCTCAAGGAAGTGGAGAAGCGGCGCCTGGAGATGCAGCGGGCGAACGAGCGCGTGCAGATGGCGCACGGCGTGTCGCTCGAGGGTGCGGAAGTCGTGGCCAAGAAGCCCAAGAAGAAAAAGTCGACAAAGACGGCCGAAGGCGATGCGAACGGCAACGACAACAGCAACGGCGCCGACCATGGAGCGGAAGGCGGAGCCGTGGTGGTGAAGCCCAAGAAGAAAAAGAAGGCCACCACAGCCGTCGACGGTGCTGGTGACGGTGGTGAACTTGGCCCACCTGTTGCAATCAAGCCCAAAAAGAAGAAAGTGAAGAAGGTGATTGACCTGCAAGAGGCAGAACCGGCATCATAGGCGATCTGTGAAGGGGATCGAACGACTAGATAGGATATATGAACGGGCGGCACGCACACAAATTTTATAATGATATTTCATACCATTTTTCGCAAAACGTTTTGTTTCTATGCAAGTCTATAACCCAAGGATTTTCCCCCGTAACTCCATGCAATACCACGTCTTTCAAACAACACATTGTCGTTCTTTTGTATTCGTCACTGAACGTTTCCTTACGCGTCCACCGCCATGGTATCACCGGCCGGTGTGGGTGGGACCTCGTCTAAACGGCCCCACTGAGGCTTGTTCAAAGGGGCCTCCACAACGCCATCCGTCTTGACCTGGTAGCCCCGGAGTCGAGGCCGTGTCGCCCGTCCGACCGGCATGTCCGTCTCATACAGCGTCTGAAACTGCCGCGCCCGGCGCTGGAAGCCCGCTACGCCTTCGTCGGCCAGGGTCGCACGGATGCCGGCAAACAGCTCGCGCATAACGTGGTGGTTGTGCACCTGCAGCAGCGTCCAGGCAAGCATCTCGCGGGCGTCCAGCAGGTGGTGGATGTACGCGCGGTGGTGCGCCGTGCAGGCGCCACAGGGGCAGCCGGGCCGCAGGGGCCGCGTGTCGGCCTTAAACACAGGGTCCGTTAGGTCCATGGCCAGGGGCAGCCGGGCGGCGCTGCTTTCGTCGCTCACCACCTTTTGCTGTTCGCCGGACCCGACATCGGTGGCCGCCCAGGAAAAGGTGTAGGAGAGTCCTTGCTCGGAAGCGTCTGTGACGGCCGGCAACAGCATGATGTCGATGCCCAGTCCGACCTGGCGCAGGATGTGGTGCGGCGTCACAGCCGGGTGCAGCGACAGGCGCGGCAGGGGCACCAGGGTGTCGGCGTAGTCGGCGTGCAGGTCGGGCAGGAGATCGACATCATACACAGCCAGGCCAGCGACGGTGGGTCTTGCTTGACCGGCACCACCGTTGGCAACAGCTTCGTCCGCCTCCCCTGCTCTTGCCAACTCGGCCAGCCGGTTGAGGTACTGCCACTGCGTAGCGTACGGAACGGGCAGCGTCGGTGCAAACAGCGCGACCCCAGTCGCCTCGGCCACACCGTCCCGTTCAACCTGGTCGATCCAGTCCTCGGTGCGCTCGGCCATGCGGTAGCCACGCTTCACCGCCGGGTGCGGCACGGACACATAATCCGAGACGGATGATTTTGCGGGCGTGTTGTTTGCCGTGTGCGTAATGGTGCCGCCGCCGTATGTCAAGTCCGCCATGGGCACGGCAATGTCGGGGCGCAGGTTGTCAATGGCGGCATGGTACGCGTTGAGGGTCAGCTTCTGGAAGCCGGTCGAGGTGACAATGGAGATGTGGCTGGGGCCGTTGCCGAGATGGGAGGCAGCAGCTGGATGCCGACGGGGCGCGAGGACAGATATGGACGAGGAAGGGAGGGCTGTAAATGTGTGCAGTCGGGGCGTAGAAGAGGAGGAGGATGAGGAGGAAGATGAAGACGAGGGAGCAGATGGCGAGGCTGAGGTGGATGGGGTCGAGTAGATGGGAGGCGCGCGGCCGGGATGCAGGGGAATATTCTCGACGACTGGCGATTAGCATGGACCGACGGGCACAAAAGATATAGTTGGACCCTGCACGAAGTACTCACAGTCTTCCAGCGCAAAATATGCGCCGTTGACGAGGCCGGTGCGGACAGCATTGTCTGGTGTCACGTGCGGCACGGCACCGCGTGATGTGACGGGGAAAAAGTTCGGTGTTGGGACCGGTGTGCGGCCGGGAAGCACTAGTGTGCCGAGCCGTGGGACGGCCGAGCGGCCAAACGCCTCTTCAGCTGCTGCAGCACTCCCGCTGCCGTTACCAACGGACGATGCCGCCGTCTTGATGATACGGAATACTGGCGGCGGCGGCATACCGTCGGGCGGCGACGGAGGGGAAGAGAGGGAGGACGGGTCAAGCGGGCCGGCAGGATCAGACGACATGACTCCGCCGAGGTAGTGAGGAGGAGAGCGACGTGTGGATGAGGTTTCGTCAGTGAATGCTGGCCTGCCGTTCTCGTGACGATATACGGCGTACACGGAAATACCAAGCACGAGACTTTTCGCAGGGAACTGCACTTAAACTTTTTAGGTGGGTTGTTTGCATGTGGGCAGGGCCTTCCTTGTAGAGGGGCTGGCCAATCACTAGGGGAAGGAGCCACCTGCCGCCAAAACTGTCAAAATGACTAATCTTTTAATAACGAACTTCCCGGCGTTGGCCATGGGGCTACAGTTTCGGTCGTAATTCTGCCACGAACATGGCCATTGACTTGGTAATAATAAGATATTGTGTTTCTATACTTGGATAAAAAACTGGAGATGTCAATTTGGAGAAAGACCTCCCCGACGACTCTCACCACGAGAAACATTGGACAAGCGAGATCATGGGATTCGACCCCGGTTAAAAACAAAAAAACACGCATCAATGCTGTACATCGTAACCTGGTCAAGCTGGCTTGCGGTCCGGCGGCCACGAATATGGCCGGAGGCAACGAAGAAGTTCGGCCGACGTTCAATGAAATACGCCACAGTGCAGGGCTGAAAGATATACCATATGCGTAGGTAGTGCCAAGGTCCTTCCACTCCAGGAGCAAGGCGACCAGAAATGTCTCACCAAATCACGTATGAGATCCTTCTCGCTGAAACTGCTAAAGGATTCAAAGATACCGTCGAGACAACGGTGGCACGCGCTCGGGGTATTGCAGCTCCATAGGCCGGGCCGACCGGCCAGTCTCATTTGCGATGTCGGTGCCCATTCGTTTGTGACAGAGTTGCGCGAGATAGGCCGGTCAAATGACAGCGTGGGATAGCAGCGAGATAGAGACGGTGCCCCAGTTTTATTTGAGCGATGAAAGGCCCAATAGGGCAACTGTGCGTGTAGCAATAAGGTCAGACGCAAGTTCAAATTACACAGGCAGACGCAAAATCAATCGAGATGCGGTGGTGAGACGAATATGTGTACGATGTAGCGCGCTGAAATTTCAAGCGGATGGAAATGGACAACGGGGTTAAAGAGACCCCCCTTGTACGCAAGATGCACTCAAGAAACAGGCGTCTCGTCACGCCCTTGGCAGATGCCACACGATGCACCCCCCTTATTTCATCACTTCACTCTACAGCATACGACGCATGTCGTATCTGCAGCGGGCTTTGTTTTCCTTGTCCATGTCCACTTTCATTCGTCCCCTCGTATTCAGGGCTGCAAGCCCCGGACAGCAATGCACGCTCGCCTGCTCCTGTGCAGCTTCAAACATTGCATCGTGACCTAAAAGGCGCAAGCTGAGCTACATGGCGCAGAGCGGTGAAGACGAAGAGGGGCAATGTCGGAGCATTGGAGCATTGGTGGCATTGGGGGCATTGGGGGCATTGGCACCTGTCCAGTATCCCTGCAGTCCACGTTGTGCAAGGCAGAGAGGTGCGTCGTCGTTGGACGAGATGGACGGCGAATCGCAAGAAGACTGTCGTGGTGGCATTGAGTCAGTCGTCTGCAATCCCGGTTTGAGGGTCGCCCTTCCGTTGCGTTTCTGTATTTCCGATCCCTCCTTCCACTTTTTTTACGGCTATTGGAAGTAAAGGAAACAAGGACCAAAGTGGACGAGCATGCGACAGCATCGCATGGCCGGTAATTGGAAACTGGCGCGGGTTTTGAAATTGTGCCCGGATTTCTTTTTGGTTTTTGGCGGCGGGGCGCCGGTTAATAGCCGTGCTGTGCTTCGGTTACCGCATACGGCAAGCAGGCGCTGGTGACGGCGTATGAAGTGTGTGCATTCTTTTGACAGGCCGACGATGCCACTAAAGCCCTGTGCAATTGTAGTACTCGGCCCCCTAAGGCTCCTCTAATGCAAGCCCACATCCCCCCCCCCCGGCGGAAGGCTGCCGAGTCGCTCCATCCATCCCCCTCGTGGCCTTCTTTACATTAGCTTCGCACACCCTGCTTTTGGGGGGATCAGTAAGGGGGCCTGCGAGACATTGCACATCTGGAGAAGAAAGAGGGATAATTCGTAAAGGAATTCCACATGAAGTGAGTGCGTAAAATGCTTCACCGCACATTTGCTATTCCATGCAATTCGGACCAGGGGTTTCGTTGGGGAAACGTGAACGTCCAATATACGAGCGAGCACATACGAAGTAGTGGGGGCCCATATTCTTTTCTTGCTTTCTTTTTTTGTCGTTTTTGTTTCTAGCTCTGTCAGTTTCTGTTTGGTAACACATTTCGTGCTTTAGTTCCATTCCGGGGGAGCTGCAAATCAGCCCAAATGTGCAAAAATTAGACCACCTGATCATTTCTCCCTTTTTCTCCCATTTTCTCCGATCTTCCATTTTGTATGAGCTTTTCTGCCTGAGCCTTTCCCGGTCTTGCAACTTATGATTCCTACGCGCCCTCCTTTACCATTAATTCCCTCTCCTTTGCTGACCACGCTCCCCTTGCCAGAAGACCAAAACAACATGGAGAAAAGCCAGAAAGCAAAAGGGAGGGAGGGAAACAAGAAACTCGTGTGACCCCCACGCCAATTCGCCGCCCACGCCGTCGAAAGTTTTCTTGGGAAGTTAGTCCTGCCTAGCGTGAAAGTTAGCTTGCCTCGTCCTGCCACGTCCCCATATGGCTCAGGTCGCTTCTTCGACCACGCATCACGATGCACTGCAGGCGAGTGCCATGCAGGCGAGTGCCTACGACGTACAAATATGGATTCGCCCTCCAGACGCTTGCTTAGGCCACTGGCACCTCCGATTCTCTTGTTCGCAAGCCGTCTCGGTGTACGGAGAGTCGGCGTCGTCCACCTTGTTGTGTGCCTCTCTGCTTGGGACACAGCGCCAAGGCACTCATTTCAATAGTTTCGTTTCTAAGATACGACTGTCCAAGCACTTCACCTCGTCTTACGAGCAGATCTTGCACAAGATACATCGTAGACCTTTTGGAGTGTTGTGACGAGTCACTCCTCTTGCTACGCAAATTGCCAGGAACCGGTCCCGTGCGGCGAAGCTACAACAATAAGATTGTATCAAAGCACAACGCGTTACACTCTCCGGCGTACAACCTTGGATTCAGGGCCGCGACCACTTGGGAGGTTCTCCGGATGATGCCCGCGGCACACCACATATGAGCGGCCGCATTTTGTGTGGAAATGCTAGACGAGCGGCGCGCATTGCCGTCGTGCCACGAATACTGTATTTCTACCTTTGCCCTTTGGCCTTTACGTGGCGGTTGGCTATGCCCATCATCCAAGTCTTGTCTTTTCATCCCCTCGTCCCTCTGTTCGAAATCCAGCACACGGCTGGTGTTGACAGAAAAAGGTACATGCGTACATGCATGCGGAGTACATACAGACTGCAGCTTGTCCTGTCGCGAGTGGGATGCGCCCGTCCCTCTTTCCTCTGCACTGCAACAACTGCACACAAGTGGGGCTGACATCGGTCGGCAAGTGTGGGGAAGGGCCACCTTCCCAGAACAACTGCAGGGAACAAAGCCCGCAAGAAAAAAACATGGAGAGGCAAGAGTGCGAGAGATGAAATTTTGAGGCAAGAGCAGCAACAGACCCAAGAAAGCGACCTGCATGGGCGTGCCCCCAGACCGGCCCAAGGAAGGATCCACAGCTTAATAATTTCCACCAAACAGAAGCCTCGCTATGTGCCTTCTCTCCAGTCTTTTTTTGCCGTTGTTTGTTTCGCTGTGACGCAGTCTCTGCGCATCATTCCTTGGTCATGGGCCATGTTCCCAGCCGGAAGGGCATGTCGGTCGTCCTTTCGCGGCTTTCGTCTTCGTGGCCTTCTTTGTTGCTCACCCCCCGCCTCCTCCCACACACTTTTGCCATCTCCCCAGCTCCCGTTGCCGTTGCCTTCAATACCGGCCGAAGATCGTCTTTTCCCGCCTCAACGGTGTCTCTGTTGCAGTGCTAATTGCAAGTATTACACACCCACGGCAGTTCTTGAGAAGATACTTTTGTGAGCTGCGCTGCCCTGGTTCCAGCACTGCCGCCCTGTCCATCCCTCGGCCGATCCCTGGAGTATCTGGACTGCCACCACACCCACCCTGCAGGTGCATCGAAGACAAAGGTTATCCTGTGTCACATTTGCCAGCCGTGACGGGGTGACGAGGGCGTGACGAACGTAGCGGGGAAAGAGAACCAAAACGAAGCGTCCCTGGAGACAGACGAGACCGCCTTTTTGCCTTGACCGAGTAAGAATCCAAGACATGCAGCCGGGCAAGGAGGGGCGTGTAGACCGGTGACAGACCAGGATTTGATGCTTGTCTTAATGTTCCATTCGAATGTGTAGCTGTGCATATTGAACTGGTCCAGCCAGGCACAAGCCTCTGTGTAAATACTTACGGTCCACGGCATTCACTGCTCCCCAATGCCCCTTCTTTTATTCGTGAGGAATCTATTCGAGTAGTTCAGCCGGCGTAGGCTGCTGTCTTTGTCCAGCGCAGTTTTAGTGACCTGGGAGGCCCCGGTCAAAAACGATTGTCATGCTCTGGAGGTTTCTGCTCGTCTTTATTTGGTCAGTTGACAACCTAAGGATTATTATTTTGGTGGTTATTTTCTGGCGTGTAATTTACTGGGGTGGCCGACAGGTTGGCTTGACGCTGGAGTTGCCGACAGCGCCACCGGACACGGCAAGGAGGCAACTTTTGCGTAAGAAACCTTTGGCCCCCTTTCCCAAATAATGCAAAGTGACTTGTGTATTTTTCTGCCTTGTACTGTCGTAGCTCTCTTTCTTTATTTCTCTGGCTTCTTTAAATAAGCTGCTCGTTCTTTCCTCTTTTGTCGTCACCCTCACTTCCTTGCCTTCCTTCCTTCCTTGCAACCATCACTGTGCAACCCCCCCCCCCCTGTTCCTTCTTTCTTTCTGTCTTTCCTATTTCGACTCTGTGCCCATATAATAAGAACGACTCTCCTCTCCTCCGTTTCGCTTTCTCGTCATCGCCTTGTTCACCCTCGCTTTTTTTCCACAGACACTCTTCTTGTCCCACTGCCCATTCACTCACCTCCACGCGGTATCACTGCAACCCGTCGCTTACACGAGTGGCTGTTCTGTCTGTTGTCCACCTATAAATATGCCTACGACCCTACCATAGCATAACCGAGCGAGCCGACCAGCAGTTGCCGCATAGGTTGGACGAAAAGAGCAGCGTGAAAACAAGCAAAATTCATTAAAAAAAGCCTTTACGAATTTACGCAGCATTGGGACGGGAAAACGGGTTACACAAAACGGGCATTGAATAGAAACACCGGGAGCAACACCGCAAATAATAAGACACGAGACGAAGAGACGAACAGACGAACGCTTTATAACACTTCAGCCATCCGACACTATGCTCTCCTCCTACAACTCTCCCGTGGCCGTTGGCCCGACCTCTCCCAAGCTGGCGGCCTCTAGCGCAGCAGCCACCGTTACCACGACCTCCGTCATGGCCAACGGCGTCAACGACGTCGCGGCCTCCCATGGCACCAACGGGTCCTCAGCGCATAGCCGCTGCAGCAGCTGCCACCACATCTGGCTGGTTACTGGCCCTGCTGGATGTGGCAAGAGCACCGTTGCCGAGCACCTTGCCAACAGCCTCAACCTGCCCTACGTTGAGGGCGACGAGTTCCACCCAAAGGCCAACATTGACAAAATGAGCAACGGCATCCCGCTGACCGATGCCGACCGCTGGGACTGGCTGACGGCCCTGCGCGAGGAGTCCATGCGCCGGATCTCCGACGGCGACGGCCGCAACGAAGTCGTCCTGACCTGCTCCGCCCTCAAGCGCAAGTACCGCGATGTCATCCGCGTCGCGCCGTACTTCAACACGGGCGTCAGCCTGCACTTTATCTACCTGTCTGCCGACCCGCAGGTTTTGCTCGCGCGCGTGGCCGGTCGCAAGGGCCATTATATGGGTGCCAACATGGTGCAGAGCCAGCTGGATATTCTGGAGCCGCCGCAAGCCGATGAGACAGATGTCATTTGCTTTGACGTTGACCGGCCGCTGGATGAGGTCAAGGCCGACGTGTTGCAGAGGGTCCAGAGCATCATCAACGAGGACAAGGCTTGATTTCATGGAGTGCTTCTCCTGTAACGTTTTGTTTTTGTTTTTGTTTTTTGCTCGGACTGTTTTAACTATTTTATTTTTACTATTTGCTGAAAGCGAGATATCCACTTGCTCTTCCATGTCGATGGTTTCCTTTTTATTATTTCTTTTGTCTATCCATTGTCAAATGCGCCTGGGCGAATTTTATTTCCGCCGTCATAATCTTGTCGTGCTGCATTTGAAGCATACATCTTTCTGGGAGGACAGGGAAAATAAGGCAAACAGATATGGCGTTTTCTTTGATTTTCAAATTTTCTATTCTACCCATTTCACGAGGTCCGAGCATACATAGTCTTTGGTTTGCTACGATTATTCTACACGTTCAAGGTAATGCAAGACCTTTCATAATGCCAATACGGTTTTAAGTTCAAAATATGTCTCGAACCATATGACCATCCGTCTCAATGTGTTCTCAATGGTTTGGTGAACACGCTCAAATTTTCTTATTGAATGCGTTGTAGATACATATGCAGTGCTTCTTGCCAAATGTTAGCTCTATGAAGGCGCGCAGCCTCATCTCGACTATTAGCATCAATGATGACGCTCCCTCTGCCTTGTCGCCGTCAGTCCTGGTTATTGCTTCCCTCTTTAGTTCATCCTATCTGAGCTGCACAATCATCGAATCTGGCCGTTCCACCATCTCCCGAACCACCTCGGCCGCTCTTGCCATCGTCGCGCCGTCCACTACCCGGTGGTCTGCTGAGAAGCTAAAGTGGCACACGTGCCGCTTGATGATCCGCTGGCTCGAGCTGTCGTCCGCGTCATCCGCAAAGGCCGGCACCGTCCGGACCCGGCCAATGCCCATAATGGCCACCTCACGCTCCACAATCACAGGGCTCAGGTACGTGCCGCCCACGTTGCCAATGTTGGACACAGTGATGGTGCCACCTTTCAGGTCTGCGGGCGCCAGCTTGCCGATCTTGGCCAGACCCTGCAGCCGTGACAGCTCACTCGCAATGGACAGCACGCTGCGAGCGTTGACGTTGCGGATGACGGGCACAATGAGGCCGTTGGGCGTGTCCATGGCCACGCCAATGTTGTGCTGGCTGCGGTAGACCAGACTGGGCTTGCTGGTATTGTCGGCGGGGACCTCGACGCGGGCATTCAAGACGGGGAACTGGTGCAGGGCCAGAGACATGGCCTTGATAATGAAGGGCATGTATGACAGCTTGGTCACGGCGGGCGCCTCGGCGCCTGTTGACGCAGCCACCTTGGCGGCGCGGGCGAGGGACGCATTGACGCGCTGGCGGAGACTGTAGAGCTGCGTAAAGTCGATTTCGTCGGCGTACAAAAAGTGAGGGATAGTCAGCGACTGGGTCATGGCCTTGAACATTTGCAGCTGCGTGCCGCCAATGGGCACTGTGGACTCCTGCTGAGGTGCGTCCTCGGCATCGATTGTCGCCGCGCCATACGACGGGCCAGACGGCTGTATCGCAGCCGGGGGTGGCGCGTCACCCTGAGCAGCGCCGCCGCTCTTCTGCTCAGCCACGTACCGGTGCAAGTCCTCCTTCGTCACCCGGCCGTCCTTTCCCGTTCCTTCCACCTGCGAAATGTCGACATTCAGCTCCTTCGAGAGGTGGCGGACCGCCGGCGTAGCTAGCGAAGTGCCCGAGAACTTCTGCTTCACTGGGGCAGGGGCCTTTTGGGTCTCCTGCGGCGTCTCTGCTACTGGTGTCTCGGCCGCCTCTGCGGCTGCATCGGGTGCAGCTGCAGCTGGGGCAGGTGTCTCTTCAGTAGCACTGGCCCCCACCTCGTCGGGGATATCAATGTCCACAAACGCCTTGCCCACCTTGGCCATCTCGCCCGCCTCGTAGTGCAGCTTCTTAACCACACCGGCAAAGCGGCTGGTGATCTCGACGGACGCCTTGTCGCTCTGCACCTCGCATAGTGGCGAAAACTCCTCGACACGCGCGCCGGGCTGAACAAACCACTGGATAATCTCGCATTCGACAATGCCTGCAGAGGACAAAAGCATCAACTGTTAGCCGTGCCACGCAATCTTCCACGTCCAAATCGACTCTTCCAGGTTCCTTACCTTCACCAATGTCGGCAAGGACAACCGGCTTCACAACCTGCATGCGAGTTGACGCGTGGAAATGCCGGGACGAGATCAGCGGCCGCGACGCGGTTGACGGTGCCGCAGTTGGTCTCCGCAGCTGTGTGGCTGCCGCTGCCGGTGTTGTCGACAAGTGTCTGCTGCTGCTCCCACTCTCTACCATCACCAGCCGCGTCGATGCAGGGCGCAGGGCGCCTCGGCAGCCACGTGGGAGAAACATGGCTTTTGAGTGTATGTATGTGGAGAGGTGTGGAGGGATCCGGCGAAAGCGAGGTTAGGTCGGCACGGCCTCGATCAGAAATCAAGAACAAACACCGTGATTGCGACAATACAGAAAGGAAGGGAGTGAGGAAAGGAAGGAAGAAAAAAAGGTCAAAGCTGGTGATTTCCAATTGGGGTCTACCCAAATCTCACTACGAGTTTCTCTTTTCTTGTCTAGCCCGAGTGGTTTCCCTTTTTCCTAGCTGCTGTCTCCTTCCTCGACGGGCAATGAATTCAGTAGACCGAGCTATTTGGCTGCAATTCGTGTGGCTGGCAACGGCTTATGTTGTTTTGGCAGGCACGCTCCGTCTCGCAAATGACGTTGTGCCCAGCCGAGAAATGCCCAGAGGCATGGGCGCCGTGGATAGCCGCTCTCGCGCAGTGGTAAGGATATGGTGCTCGGCTTAGTTTCAGCACCTCGCCAGGGGGCCACTTGCCAAAGTCCGGGGAGGGGAACCGCCATGCTCCACAAGCTCCTGCCATTTTTCGTTCCTGTGGCCTGTCTTCCAGGAGACTAACCAGGCGCCCCGGAACGTGCCACAGCAGAAAGGCGGTGTCGCTAGACTGCCTCAAAGCGGCCCGCCAGGCCCTGCAGGCCATTAAACCAGAGCGGCAAAATTCTTGCAGATGCGGCTGTCGAGCTACGGGGTCATTTTGGCGAGGGAAAAAATAGATGCAGGCCCGGGACTTAACCTCATCCCTCGGCCAAGCTCCGACCTCCCGACACGGTATACCCATTGGATTGGACCTAAACCCGATCCCATCTCTCAAATGGGTACCCTTCGGATAGGTGTCGCGACCCTTTCGCGCAGGAAAGGGATTGGCGCACTGTGGACTCTCTCAACGCCATTCCCATCGGCCTCGACGCCGGCAGTGACAGCATCATGTGTCTTATGCCAATGGCGCACATTCAGCACAACCGGACGTATCCGGCGGGATACGAAGCCGACGATTGCTTCCAAAGCCAAAGCCGGCACCAGCACCCCTTCCGCACAGCCGGAAGCGCTGGCAGAGGCTGGAGCTGAAGCTAAAGAAGCCGCTCCGCCAAAGGTCAATGCTTTGCCAAACGCGCCACGCTCTTATGGCAAGCGAACCGACGAGTTCACGCCGACGCCTCTCCCACGGCCAATCGGCATGCCGGCACCACCGATGGCGGGTGAGAACAGCGGTATCGATGCGCGGACGCTGCAGCAGAAGCGCGACGATTTTGTCAACTACGAGAAGCACCTCGAGCGCCGCAAAGAGCTGTAAGCCCAATGTAGTTGCTGCTGGTCCCATATCCTGACAACCTGCTAACACCCCCGTTTTCTCTGTGTAGCAAGACCAAAATTGTAAAGCCGTACTTCCGAGACTGGACCAACCTCCAGTTCCAAGAGGGCAAGACCTTTATTGCGCCTCCACGCCTGTTCCGGAGCGACGTGTCCCTCTACTTTCCAAACCTCGTGGGCCAGCCCCTGCTGTCAGCTGACAAGGCCAGGTCCAAGGACACAGAAGTCAGCACCACGCCGATTTTTGAGCAGAACGCCGCCACGGTCGTGGCTTTTTTCAGCAGTATGTGGGCCGAGAACCAAGTGCGCACGTTCATCTCGCCCGAGGAGAATCCGGAGCTGGCCGAGGTGCTGGCGGCCAACAGCGGGCCCGGCAAGGCACAGCTGGTACAAATCAACTACGAAGACAATGCAATGCGCGCCTGGCTGGTGCGCCTGTTCCGCGGCTCGCTGCGCAAACGCGTCAACAAGCGGGATCGTGAGCGGTACCTTCTGGTGAGACAGGGTGTCACGGATGACATCCGTGAGAACATTGGCCTGCTCAACAGCAAGGTCGGCTACATCTACCTTTTGGATCAGCAATGTCGTATCCGTTGGGCCGGCAGCGGTTCGAGCCAGCCGGAGGAGCGCCAAAGTCTCGCCAAGGGTGTCCAGCGTCTGCTGTCCGAGGCCAAGAAATAAGGCGGCAATAGTCACAAGGTCTCTGTGTCGGACTCTGCAAAAGCAAAAAACGTACTCTTCTCATATTTAAACACGGCTCCGTGACGATACCCAGCATCTGTACTATAGAAACAAGCGGCACCATAGTGTACATAAAATAGCAAAAGCCGCAGCAAAACTGTAAATAAAGAGGCAAACGGCAAACGTTGAGATCAAGGTCCCTAGGTTTTCACGGGAAATCAAAACTATGTATGGTATGTGCCTAACGATGGAGTGTTCCATGTAAACGCCGTGCATAAGTAGAAAGGGAAAGAGGAAGCAAAGGAAGCAAAAGAAAACAGTCGCGACCGCATGCTATTGTGTGAGAGTGTGAGAGAAAATGAGAAAGGGGGAATCGTTGGCAAGACAAAGGATAAAGGTTACATGAACCAGAAGAAAACAATAAAGCACAGCGCAATAAATGAACCCATGATAATGCCGTCCCGCCGCTTCTTGGACGAGATACGCCCGATAAGGGTGTTGATGCCCGGCACCTGGCTCGCCGCCAGCGTGATCCGTCGGTTGATGTTGGTCAGCGTCTCACGCTGGAGACCAAAGTTCTCGTTGACGGCGTACGCCTGGCTCAGAACGCTGTCCACCATATTGTGGCTGTTGTCGATACGACTGCGCTCGCCCAGCATGTACTCAGCCTCGGCGGCCTCGCCTGTCAGCCCACCACCCTCAGCCCCATCGGCGCCTGCGCGGTGCGAGTTGATGTCGTTGCGGACATGCGCCATTAGGTTAACGCGGTCGCGTGCATGGTTGAGCTGGACCTTGAGGCGGCTCAGGTCGCGGCGGTGCTCTTCGTACTTTTCGCGCAGCAGCGCTAGGTTGTTTTGCTTGACGGCCGAGGCTGTGAGGTTCGGATCGGAGTCGAGAATGCGGGTGAGTTGGCGGATAAGGTTTTCTCGCTTGCTCAGAATCTCTTCGAGCTTCTTCTCCGTCTGTTTCTCTTCGTCCGAGGGCTTTAGTGGTATCGACGAGGTTGCCGAAAACTGTGAGTAGGTGTGAAGATGGCTTTCAGTCTGTCGGTGCGAAGAAAAGGAACTTGTCAGCACACTCTTGCAAAACCATCGGCTTCCCAAGTCACGAGGGATACATACTTGGCTCTCCAGTGTCCGCACTTGCTGCCGCAGCTGTGTCCAGCCCGAGTTTCCGCCAGCGGAAGCCATGGCTGTCAATTATCGGATATGATCTGAGGAGGAATAAATGGATGCAAAAAAAGGAGATCTGCTAGTTCATCCCAACCGTGGTTCTTGTGATGCTCAGGCGTAAGTGCTCGGCTTCGTCGGTTGCACACGTGGGTCTGGTGTCCAGGAGTTGTTCTTCGCAGCTTCTTCAGTTTATTTTCAATGATTTCAAAGCGTGCGTATTATCGTCTCAGTTAGACGGTCGTACATGCGCCTGATTCGTGGTGATGCAAGATTGTTGTATGTCCGAGAGGCAGCAGGATTCCAGAACCAGCCATTGATGGAGAGGAGGGCAATGAGGTCACGGTCTTCTGTTACGGAGTCTAGCCAAGACCGAGCTGCAAGTTTACGGAGTAGTCTCATTCGTAGTCACTTGTGGCGCTATTGTGGCTGAAAAACTTTCTTGTAGCACGTGACAAATGCTGACTTAAGCCAATTCTACCCGCTACCCAAAAACTGCCATAGGGTTCGTCGGCCCTAGAATATTTTGCCGCTAGTCAGTCAAACTGAGTGGACGAGTGGACACTGCAAGAGCAGAGGGGGTTTGCTAGTGCCCCCATGAAAAAAGTTTCTATGCCCTTTAATTTTTCTCGCACGCTTTTCCCGGCTTTGACATCTCGTGTGCACGACGACCAACTCTCTTTCTCGACAATCATCACCACAACACACGTCGACAAACCGCCCCACGACGACAAATCCTCAACAAAATGGTATGTCATTAGAAATAATATATTGTCTTGCAGTCGGTGCAAAGAAGGAAATGAAACTGGGATGGAATGGGAAGGAAAACGAACGACGATTATCGGTTCAACGTCTCGAATCGAAACACGGTCCAACAGTCGCTCTACTCGCCCGCCCGACGATTGCGTCCACAACGGCCCCCGTGTTGTCTCGCCATTTGCGTCCAGATGCCTCCAGATATCTCAAAGGCATGCAGCGTTGCTCGTCGAGTTTCTGATACGACAAGCTGCATGACTTCATGAGTGAATCGGATATTGTGTTCGAACCGGCTGGACGACAATGGAGGTGGAGACTTTGCATCATATATCACCAGCAGCGCACGAATCGATTGTGGAAGAATATATTTCGAAAGCGTCGGCAAACGTTACTAAAACGGCGGGCGTCGTAATCCACAATCGACTGAGCGCAACATTGTGGAATAGATGCTGCATAGCATAAGACTAGACCACCTCAACCGTCAACAAGGCGACCGACCGGCACCGACATTTTCGTTGAAAGAGGAGGATTGCCTATCTCGGGACGTCACATTCACATTTTGAAGGAATACCGTTGCTAACATATACAACAGTCTTCCTCCAAGGTTAAGGCCGGTGCCCTGTGGCCCAAGAGCAAGGATGAGCTCGTCAAGCAGCTCGCTGAGCTGAAGACGGAGCTGAGCCAGCTCCGTATCCAGAAGATCACCTCGTCGGGTTCCAAGCTGAACCGGATGTAAGTTTGAGCAGGCCCATTTTCAAATTTCCACTCGCATCGCACAGCGCCGACGCGTTGTTGCCTACTTACCGTATCGTGTCTAACTCTCGCCTCCCAGTGGTGACGTCCGCAAGTCGATTGCCCGCGTCCTGACCATCATCAACGCCAAGCAGCGTGCCCAGCTCCGCCTCTTCTACAAGAACAAGAAGTACCTGCCTCTGGACCTGAGACCGAAGCAGACCCGCGCCATCCGCCGGCGGTTGTCCGCCGAGGATGCCGCCCGCACCCTGACCAAGACCAAGAAGCGCCAGTCTCACTTCCCCCAGCGGACCTTTGCCGTCAAGGCATAAGCGTCTTGTTTTTGCGGTGGAGACTTTTTGACATGATTTGAGGCCGACGATGGGACGGTAGTTTTTCAAGGATCGAGGATTTTGACACAATACAAAAGCAAAACCTCCTTTTCATCTTGAAAACTGTGTGCTGTTTTTCTTCTTTGTTTCTGCTTTTATATCATGGGAGACTCGGGGAACAACAAAAAATAACAATAGGGGTGTTTGGTTTTTATTACAGCGCTCTTTTGCTCTCTCGCAAAACAAACAAACTATAAAAACTCACACGACAACCAAACAACAAAACAACATCCGGGGAAATAGGTGGCATTTCGAGGAGGTTTCTATTTCTTGGAACGGGCCACGAGATTTGCATTCTACCATTTTCATGGATACGGAAATCCGTACCAAATAAAAAAAGAGTAAAAATTATAAGCCGCCGTCTTTGTTTCGTGACAACAATGTCTTCTATGAGTCTCGTTTTGTGAAGAACGCTGTATATCGACCCTAGCTCCAACATTGAACACGCTCTGCTCTCTCGAAAGGTCGAGAGGTCGCACATAAAATACATTCTGAGCTACGCCAGCGAAGTCTCGTAATGAAACCGTTATCATAGAAATAACAATTGGCTAGAAGACCAAGAAGTTTCTATGGTCCGATAACTGTTTTATCATTCAAGACGAGTTACGGTTCTCCTTATGAACTTCTCTGTTCTTTCTTCTACGCCTTTATGAAGGCACAGTTTTCTATGCTATGCCACTTGCTCCAAACCGTCCAACCCTCAACGCCGTTCCAAACTGAGAAAAATACAGGCAAAATCAAACTCCAAATCAAAATCATACATGAGCATGACCATGGAACATCGTAACAGGAACTTCCAAACATATAAAACGACTGGAAAGGGACGTTCACTCCAGCCTGGTCCATGAAGGCTCAAACTGCGACGGTTTTAGCGACGAGCGAGCTGTTAGCTGCAGGTTTGGCGATAGAAGACGACGTGCTCTTGCTATGCTGGCCGCTGTGTCGGCGCAGCTGGTCTTTCCGGTGAAACGTCCGGTTGCAGCCAGGAAACTTGCACTCGTACTGGCCGTCGCCAGTATGGATGCGCTTGTGTTTGGAGAGATTGGACGACTCGCTGAACTCCTTGTTGCAGTAGGGGCATTTGAGTGGTCGCACCTTTGTGTGTGTGCGAATGTGCATAGCTAGGATGCGGTCAGCAAGGGGGCTCGTGGTCCAACAATGTAAAAAATGTAAACGTACTCAGTGCACTGTGTTGCCGGAAAGTCTTGCCACAGATGTCACACGATAGCGGCTTGCTGTCCTCATGGATCAGCTTGTGTTGAAGCAAGGCCTGGTTGGCGGAGAAGGACTGGTGGCAAATGTCACATGTAAAGGGTTTGTCTGAGATTGTTAGTGTGTGCGGTACAGGAAGGAGGGATTTAAGAAAATGGGAAAAGAAACATACTGCCCGTGTGAACTTGCATATGGCGGTCTATCTTGCTCTTCTGAGCAAAGCCACCCTTCTCCTCACTGTCCCGGCGTGTGCAGCCTTGCCATCCGCATGAGTATGTGCCCCCCACATCTCTCTTCAGCAAGTGTGTATGGGCTGCGAGGACGTGCTTGTGAAGCTCACAGGCAGAATCAAAGGACTGGCCACATGGTTGGCCACCTAGAGTGTCACACCAGGCGCACTCAAACATCTGAGGGCCGGTATCAACAGCCCCGCCAGCAATCTTTTGTTGACTGTTTTCAGTCTTGAGGCCAGGGGTAGCCGGTAGTTGCAGCTGAGTCAATTGCTTGGTGATCTGGGGAGAGGTCATCGCGGGATCTTGTAGATGCTTCTGTATGGCTGCATCGTTCAGCGAGTCAAAGCCAAAAGTTCTGAGAGGAAGAGAAGAGTCCGGCAATGTCAAGCCGCCGCCAACAACGTCCTGGCCGGATTGTGGCAAAGAAGGTGTTCTTGCCAGATCTTGAGAGACCAAAGAAGCAGAAGGCGATGCAGAAGAGGCCATGTCTGGAGTCTGATCCATCTGCAAGTTCTGTTGCATGGCAGGGAACTGAAGGAGGTTTAGGCTCTTGCGGTGCTCGTTCCATAAATGCTGAAGCATAGCCTCGCCACTTGGGAATTTGGCACCACATTCCACAGCATCGACGTGGTTGTGCGAGTGAACATGGCTGAGTCCTTGGCCATGGCCATGGATGGCGTTCTCATTCATGATCTGGTTCAAGTCAAGGTTATCAAAGAGACCGCCTTGGCAGTCGGTAAAGTGACGCATGTGGCACTCCTGGTAAAAGCTTGGGTCTTCGACAGGACAAACAGACGCTGTGCATTCAGATGGGTTGAGGGGGTTGTGTGAGTCGCGTAAGTGCTGGTAGTTTATCAAGAACTGCGGGCTAATACATGTTATGTCTTGACCAAGGCCGAACTGCAGACAAGAAGGCTCAGAGACGGATGTTCCAGAGTGTTGATGGCCATGGTGGCTATCTACTACTGGCATTTGTTGTTGTTGTTGTTGTTGTTGTTGTTGTTGTTGTTCCTGCTGCTGCCGCTGCTGCTGCTGTTGTTCTTGTTGTTGGCCGATTTGCCCTTGCTGCTGCTGCTCTATAAAGGATGTGAGTGCTGCCGCAGCATCGGCATCTTCTGGTGACAGAGCAGCAATGACTGAACCAGTGTCGGATTGTCCTTGGCAGTCCTCGTCCTCGCAGCAACCTGAGGGGTTGATAGCACAGGCCGTGTCGCGGCAAATGTTGTCAGCGTCGCAGTCACTGCCGCAGGTCGAGCCTTCATCATCGTCAGCACCGTCGTCAGCGGCACCAGAGTGCATAGAGTGCTGAGTAGGTGGTGAAGACAGCACAGATAGTTGCTCAGCAAAGTCGTTGGCATATGTGGGTGAATACAAGTCAGGGGCCGAGGGACCAACTGAGGAAGGAATGAAGAAAGGGCCGCCCGTAGTAAAGTCCATCAGGTTGAGCGCACTACCCTGGGTGCCGCCTACAGTCGTAGGAATGCCCTGCATGCCGCGCTGGTTTTGTCCGCTGTGGCCACTGGACACGACACTTGGATCAAAGTGACGAGTATGGAAGAGCATGTGCGCTGCTGAGGCCGAGTTGCCTCCGTGGTAGAGGCCGTGATGATTGCTACTGTTGCTGCTGTAGTGGCCACCCGTAGGGCACTTGGGAGGATGTGCGCAGAGGTCATCGTGTGACGTGCGGAGGGCGGTGCCCAGGCCGGCCTGTTGGTCATGGCTGACGCACTGGGGGTTTTGTACGCCGAAGAGCTTCCAGTCATCCATGTCGACGTCAGCAATCTGCGAGTTACCATCAAGCGAGAGCGCGTCGCCAAAGGATTCGAGGTAGGAAAAGTCTAGCGACCCCTGATGGAGGCGGGAGTTGCTGCTGTCCATTGCGAATGTTTTGTGTGGGTGCATATGATTTGACAAAGGATGAAGGCCGGAGGATAAGTGGCAACGCGATAAGTGAGAAGTGAGGAGAGGAAATATGAAAGGAGAGAAGAGGAGAAGTTTCCACAAGAACCCTTAAAGCAGGACACATAAACGGAGGTGCAGGATCAGACGACGTAGAGCCAGGACCGAACACATGTGTCAGCAGGAATATGAAGACGGCGATGTCAACACAGGGCATCAGCAAGGCGCCTCTGGTTCATCGACACAGTCTCTGATCAGGAACGGTGCACGGTGCGAGTAGCAAGATGCAAGCCATTCCTCTCCAAAGGGAGGTGGTAGAATGGTAAGTGTAACGTGTAGCAGGGTGTCGTTGTACGGCCGTCCGTAGGGGTAACAGACGAAGGTCGAAGAGGGTGAGGTGGATGACGAGAATACACGACGAGGAGATGAGGGGAGGCGAGGAGACGACCGAGATACGGAGGTAGAGAAGATGGAAGAGGGGAAGAAAGGAAGGTGAGAGAGAAACAGGCAAGAGATGCACAAAGAGTCTGGACAGGTCCTCCGTGCCTGGTTGTGATATGGCAAGGCAAGGCCGGGCCTTGAGACGGGCAGGAGCGATGGCACTGTGAGGTTTTCTTTGGAATTACAACATACATTGGCCCCCGGATGTACCTATTTAGTGGCATTTGGCTGTGTTTTAGTCCTCGAAATACAAGCATGATCCAACGGCTTTTAGCGCATAGTGGAAAGCGCCACTGCAGTAATACGGCTTAACACAGCGCGCCTTCCCTTTTAAAAAAATTCTTCAGGGCCTCCTTCGCTGAGCAAGTGGTAGAGAAAGGCCACAGGGTCAGGTTTAACCTCCCCCCACCTACCTCTCACGGACCCACTCTAGCAGAAATTCATGGTTCTTATTGGTCAGAAATAGCCCGGACCTGCACAAGGCTCCAGAAAGCACCAAGAAAACCCACCTGCGCGACGAGCCTTTGAGAACCCGGATGGTCCTCTGGACTTTTTTTGTGTCGTGCTCGTACGAGATGCGGAAGCGCAAACAATTGTGCTTGTAAGAACAGAGCCAAAGAAGTACAGCCAAAGCGCCGAATGATGTGCAACCCCCCATCTCCATAGAGCAAGACACACAGAAAAAATACCAAAGAAGCAAAAAGGAAAAAGCAAAAAAAGCTGTTGCGATCACCTGCTGAGCAAAAGGGCAAAGTGCCCTTCCCCCAGCAAAAGCAGGAAACCCGGAAGTGGAAGTGTAGTTTCCCTCTTTTGTCCTCAATTGGGCCTGTGGCGTTGCTTTGTTGGGCTTTCCTACTCCCCAGCTTGCGAATTGTGCATTGGAGGACCCGTCAAATGGCCTCTCTTGCAAGCACATAATATTTTGCTTACTGCTCGAAGCAATGAAGGCCAGACTGACAGAGTGCCTGCCAACTTCGTGGAGCGCCTTTCACCACATATCGTCAGATTTGATTCTACACATTACCGTCCGTGACTGCGCAGCTCGAGTTTTCGTTTTTGCTCCTCGTTCGTTACTTTTGGCTATTACGAGTTCTTCCCGAAGCCTGTTGCCAGAGGAGAACCCGTACTTGTAGATTTATTTTTTGCACTTAATATTCGACGTTGCATCTCTTCACATTGTATGCTTTTATAGTGCGGTGATATTTGGTACCAGGTATGCCGGTGGGCCCTGAGTGACTCAAACAACAAAAACTTGATATATCCCGTCCATCAAGAGTCCCCGCGGAGCATGCGAGTGATTGCTTCTACTCTTGCCCTTTCCATTCCTTGCCATCGAATATCAACTTACTATTGATAAGACTCCGCGAAGCAAAGACAAGGCTAACCGAATCGGCCGTCGATGCACACTTGGCAGACCGTGTCACTTGTAGGCGAGTCTACAACCAATCGCCGTATCGTCGCGAGCAAAGAAACGGTAAACGCTGTTCAATAGCAGAGGTAGTAGAAACGGCGCTTATTGTTTGTAAACACTTATCATTTATCTTTACGAACAATGGTACTGCCAATACTTGTCGTAAATTATCATGCGCGATGTATTTTACCTTACCAAGCGAATAGTGTATCGCACACCGTTCATATAAAGGCGGTGAGGTGTCTATTAGCCTTGTCACCAATTTAGCACGGCAGAATGGGCCCTCAACTGTCGCCGCGTCATTAGGAAGGAGCAAACAGCGCCACAAGTGCCAATATCCCAGGCAGCTCCAAAGGAGGGGTCTTTCTCCACGCGAGCTTCTCCAGAAGGGAAAGGACGATTCCAACACAGCCTGGCTCAACTTGGCAATTGTGACTTATCGCCAGTTCCTCCATCGAATTGCCTCACCAGCCTTTTCTTCCTCGTTTCCTCTTCTAGCTTGTAGCAATGTAAGAGCTTTGTCGCCCGCCTGTCGTCCGTTCCCGACGTTATTATCCCACCTCTGAAATAGTCGATTGCTGGAACTCGATTCACCACATCGTCCTCCCCAGCCGGCCATCGCAAACTCCTCTTCTCCCACGTTCAACCACAGTTGTCCATCTTTCCGCCACTTGGGAAAGGAGCGGATCTTTCGCAGACGACGTCCTTCTGGCTAGCATAGTCGCCTCTCAACAGCCTTGCCTGGATTTCACCTGCAAATCGCGCTCCAAAGTTCTTCCGACTGATACGCAATGGGTAACTCGTGTGGCAAAATCGACAAGGACGACGGTGCCTTTGACCGGCCGGGCCGCACGCTCGGCGGAGCTGGCACGGGGTCGGGCAATGCACGGCCAGTCGCAGCGGGCGGCGGGGCTCCGGCCAAGACTGCGCCAGTCCCGCCGCGCGTGGGAGGGCCGGCACGCACGCTCGGTGGCGCCAGTGGCGGGCCGGGATCGTCTGCGGCCGCCGATGCACGAGAGCGAGCCGCCGCCGCAGCGGAGGTAATTAGACACACCTTGTTTTCTATGATTGCGTGGACCGAATCCTGGGAAGTGAAGACTGACTCTGCAGGCCCGGAATGCACCAAGGGCGGCGACCGGCAAGCTGGGCGCACAGCTCGAGGCCCAGCGACGCGAGAACCGCAGCGACACACTAAAAAAGGCCAGCGAGGCCGAGGTGCGCCGGCGCGAGATGGATGCCCAGACGTCGGCGGCGCAGTACGACTGATTCTGGACACAACAACGGACGTATTTGCGTCGTACGTGCGAAGAGTCTGGGTGCGGGCTATGGCAAGTATGCGCACAGATGACATGTGGGTGATGGGTGGCTGTGGCCGGAGAGCGATGGCGAACAGTTGTTTGCATTTTATTCTGGTTAGTTTTTTGCGTCTTCACTTTCTCTTCACGATTGCCAGCGTTTGCATTCTTGTAGCTTGGCACAGGCCAGTGGGCGGTTCCATTTCCATTTCCACATATATTTTCTTTTTCATTTTCATGTCGATGCTCTGAAGATCTATCATACACAGCCTTCACAGCTCATTTTCTTTTATCTGGTATTTTTTTTTGGTCCCAACAAAGATGGCGCCTCCAAACGCAAGCATATATGAAACCCCAAAGTACATTAAACATGATCAAAATATGCACCACCTCCTGCTTTTGCTACATGACTGTTTGTTTGCCTCTCACGTAATCGTGTACCGTCCACTGGCCGGCGCCCGGCTCTCTGCATCAGCTGCAGCTACCGTACCTTCGCGCAGCAAACGTGTCAGTTCAGTGAGCGCATTGCCCACAGCCAGCTCCGTATCACCCTCAATGAGCAGGTACAGCTTGGCCTCACCACCCGGAGGCACCTTGGCACCGGCCGCGTAGAAGGTGCCCTTGGTCGTAATCGACGTGCCGGTCGAGTCAAGAATCTTGGCCACATTCGTCCGGTTGGTGACGGCCCATCTAGCCTTTTGCGGGAAATCGTTGATCTCGAGCGTAGCATGAAACGCGCCTGCATCAGGGCCCTTGTTGTCAATGGCCTGGCCAGAGCGCAGCTGGCCGGCTCGGGCCAGCCGGGCATTGATGTCGTTGATGGCCGATGCCGCCTTCTCGAGTGCTGCGCCGCCACCAACGCCTGGCTTGGAAGGCAGGGCCGCACCCGGTGCGGCATTCCCGGCCGCGCCCGCCGACGCCGCCGCACTGCTATCGCCACCCTCGTTGGCCGTGTCGCGCGACACAATGGCCGACGCTGCGGACTGTGCCAGGTTGCTCGCGGCCTGCTTCTTCTTATCGTCCTCCTCGACGGCCTCCTTGTCGGGCTCCTCGTCGTCGCCTTCCGCCTTGTGTGTCTTGCGCTCGCGCTGCCGGGCGGCTTGCCGGTCCTTGTCCAGCTTCTCCAGGCCCTTGCCGCCGAAGCCCGACTGGTCCTTGGCCTTGCCTGCCTTGACCTTCTCGCGCCACGCCTTGCGCATCTCGGCCAGACGCTCGGGCACGGGCTGCCCACTCTGCTCCAGCGCCTTGGCGATGCCCGGTGCACAGTTCTCCTGGTCCTCCGTGATGAACGTGACGGCAGTGCCTGTGTTGCCAGCACGACCGGTTCGGCCGGCGCGGTGCACGTAGTCTTCCAAATGGTTCGGCGCATCGTAGTTGACCACCAGCTTGAGCTGCTTCACGTCCAAGCCGCGCGCCGCGACCGATGTCGCCACTAGGACAGGGCACACGCCGTTCTTGAAGTCGGTAATCGTCGAGTCGCGGTCGTTCTGGTCCTTGCCACCGTGCAGCGACATGCAGCCATAGCCCTTCAGCAGCAGCTCGCGCAGCAGTTCATCCGCCTTTTCTTGCCGCTCCACGAAAATGAGCGACCGCACGTCCTCGTCGTTCATGTAGAGCTCGCCGAGGAGCTCCAGCAGACGGAAGAACTTTTCCTTCTCCTCCCGCACCTCGATGATCTGCGTGATCTCGGGCGCCACCACGCTGCGGCCGCCGACAATGATCTCGACGGGGTTGTTGAGCACTTTCTTAACGAGCGCGTCGATAATGCGCGGCATCGTGGCCGAGAACAACACCGTCTGCTTGTCGGGCCGGATGTTGGCAAAGATCTTCATCACCTGCGGCTCAAAGCCCATGTCAAACATCCGGTCCGCCTCGTCCAAGACAATGTACGTCGTCCGCTTCAGGCTCACGACGCGGCCCTGGTTGGCCGCAAGAAGGTCAATCATGCGGCCTGTCGTGGCCACAATGATCTCCGCGCCACGCTTCAGCTCCGCAATCTGGTCCTTGATGGGTGGGCCGCCGTAGGCGCAGACGGCGCGGAGCCCAAGCGCTTTGGCAAACGGCTTACAGTCCCTGTGTATCTGCACCGCCAGCTCACGCGTGGGCGTCAGGATGAGGCCGATCGGGCCCTCGTTGTCCTTGACAGGGTCCTGGTCCATGATGTGGCGGAACATGGGCACCAGGAACGCCATGGTCTTGCCAGAACCCGTCTTGGCCACGCCAATCACATCGCGGCCCGACATGATGACGGGCAGCGCCTGCATCTGGATCGGTGTTGGCTTCTCGTACCCGAGCTTCTCCACGATCCCCAGCATCGTCTGCGTCAGCCCGCAGTGCGACCACTTTTGCACCGGCTTTGGGACGTCCTTGCCGGAGACTTTGATGCCGTCCAGATCCAGCCGCAGCTCGGCGACCTCGGCCTCTGTGAGCTGGCTGAGCTCTGACGGCTCGACCCAGAAGTTCTTGCGAACCGGCGTAATGTCCAGTTTGCTGTAGTCGATCGTGGGGATCTCCTTCTTCTTACGCTTGGCCGCCATGGCCAGAATGGATTTCGCATCCAGGCTGTCCTGGGCCTTGGTAAAGTAGTCTTCGTCATCACTAAAGTACGCCTCAGGCTCGGCTGCAGGCTTCTTTGTTTTCAATGCCTTTTTCGTGGCTGGTGCCTGGTCGAGGTTCGCCATGAACGCATCGAGCGGGTCGACGTCGTCGTCCACGTCCATTTCGGTCGGAGTTTGGGGCGCGGCATCTTGTGTGCGTGTAAATCCGTTCACTTTAGCGGGTGTAGGTTTTGCCTCAACAGCTGGTTTCGCCTCATCAACCTCCATGGCCTCTGGCTCGGACTTGACGACCGGGACAGGTTCTGACGCCGTCGTAGACTGCGGTGCATCGGCTGTCGGTTCTGACGAAGAAGTGGCATTTGTTTCTTCCTCGCCGGCGCCATCAACGACAGCGCCATCGGGTGCATCTGTCTCGATCGCCATCTTTTCTTGCAAGATGCGTTCTTCGCGGCGCTCTCGGGCAGCACGAGCAGCCGCAGCAAACTCCTCTTCGGTGCCATCAAATCTACCATCGTCCTCGTCATCCTCGTCTTCGTCTTCGTTGTAGGGGGCATCGTCAGCGTCTTCTAGAGAGGCATCGGGGAGCTTAGCTAGCTTTCGCTTGGAGGTCTCCTCGTCGTCGAGGTCAAGCTTGCGCTTTCCGGCAGCAGCGTCGGCGGCGCCCTTGCCAAATCCGAAACCGCTAAACGGCTTGGCTGCAGATACGTTGGATGCTAAACGTGGAGACCGATTTGTTAGCAGAGATGCCCTTCGTTCCAAGTCAGACCATAACGAGCTAGGTTGCAACTCACCCTTTGCAAATGCCTTCTTGGCCGTGGACGGTGCCGGCGCTTTGCTCTCCGTCGTAGCAGGTTTCCCTAGAGTGACAGATCCAAGCAGCCCAGGCGAATGGTGTCGAGCAGCAGATTTCTTAGCGATGGCCTTTGGGTCGAACTTGCCGGCATAGGCAACGTCAGCAGGCGCTGCTGCTGTAGCCAGGGTGTCTGTTGCAACTTGTGCCGTGGATGTGGGCGAGGCAGCAGCCGTGGCCGACGGGGATGCAGATGCTGCTGCGGCCTGTTTCTGCTCGTGCTTCTTCTTCCAAGCCTCGAGCTTTGCTAGACGCTCGGCCTTCTTTTCGGCCTCGGATTTCTCGCGAGTTGCAGCGGCTGCGGCACTTGTTTCCGCAGGAGCTTTTGAGGTTGCGGAGGCAGGCGTTCCCCGCGGCGGCAGTGGCGATGTTGCTCCTCTGCTATGGCTACGAGGGGCTTCGGCTGTACCTTCCCGTCGGCTGCCGCCACGGTAGCTGCGGTCGCTTCGGCCACCATCACGGCTGTGGTCCCGACGTCGGCCTGCCGACGAACGGGATCGTGACCGCGAGGATCGGCGTCGGTAGTCGGAGCCTCGGTCGTTCCGCCAGTCGTCTCGGTCTCGACGGTAGCCTCCTCTGTCGCGCGAGCGGTCCCGGTTTCGGTTTCGGTTGCGGTCTCTGTCGCGGTCGCGTGCTTGGTCTCGATCGCGGTAGGTGTGCTGCAGATGCGTTCCGTTAGAAATGCTTCTTCCGTCGCTGTAAGGGTGGATGCGTCCTCTCACATTTACCGGGCTACGCGACCGGCGCCGGCTGTCGCGTGGTGCGCCGTCTCGCCGGTCGCGATCGCGGTCGCGATCACGCCTATCGTCATCTTTGCGAGAACGCTTTGCATCGTGTTGACCTGCAGGAGATGGTGAGCGTGAGGTCCTGGGCCGAGCCATGGTTTCTTCTAAAGCGAGATCCTGCGTCTTCGGCTTTGTGTGCTTCGGCGGACCTCGTCTTTCTGTTTCTTTCTTTTTCTCTTTTCTCTTGAATTGGCTCAACACGTCAACATTAGGTGGCTAGGTGGTGGCTACTTTTTTTTATCTCCCAAGACGACAGATGGGACTTGAGCAGTCAATCTGCTTGAAATGAAATGGTAGACGAAGAAAGGAGGTGACCAAAGCAGTAGGAAAAAGTTAAAACATCGTCCACTGAAGCCTTGCCTTCGATGGATTTAGGCAACGCGACTCTATGATGAAAAATTGGAGATTGTGGAGCGTGGCGCATTCACGTGACTCCGGCCGCATGTTAGTCACGTGTATCTTCTCGACCAGCTTATGCGGGACCTGGAATGTAGTGGATTGGTGCAACAGCTTAGTCCAATAGCAACGGACGAAAGCGGAAGGCCCACTTGTGTATAGTATACATATGTTGTATGCAGTTATGACTCAATTTAATAAGTATCCTCTACCACTGCCTTGTCGTCATTTCCCGAGACGCAAGGAGCTCTGTAAAACAAGGGGGCTGGGAAGCACCTGCCCGCATGAGACTCAGCACGCCCAGACCACCACACCCAGACCGCAATCGCACGCGATCATACGGTCTGTGTATTTTCCGTCCCAGGGAGCCGCGAATTTTCTGTGCGACAGCAATATCACGATTCGTTGTGCGTTGAAAAAACGACGTCGCAACGCCGCAACTGCCCGCGCTTATCAACATACCGGCGACACGGCGACCAACAGACAATCAAAACAAACGAATCCCCGCGCAATTGTCCGCGTCTCAACAACCACAACCGTCGACGCACAACACACATCGGCCTCCCTTCCCAAAAATGCTTTCCGCCAACGTCCTTCGCGTCGGCGCCGCGGCCGCCGGCCGTAGTTTCACAATGCAGGCAGCCGGTGTCAGCACCGGCGCGCCGCTCGTCTCCAGACAGGCCGCCCTGAACGCGTTCCGTGCCCAGTCGACACGCGGCTTCATGGCCGCGACGGCCGTTGCGGCAGCGGCGACGACCAAGGCCTCGCCGAAGAAGAAGGCGACGACCGCCAAGAAGACAGCGACCAAGGCGGCGCCCAAGAAGACGGCGGCGGCGGCGGCGGCGGCGGAGAAGAAGAAGAAGGCAGCGGCAGCGGCCAAGAAGAAGGCGGCTGCCGCCAAGAAGAAGGCAGCACTGACGCCCGAGGAAAAGGCCAAGGCACAAAAGCGGGAGCTCAAGAAGGTGGCGTTGCTGCACGAGCCGCGCAAGCTGCCGGAGCACCCGTGGATTCTCTTTATCACGGAGAGCACCACGGGCACCAAGGCAGAGGACGGCGGCAAAGCCAATCTCGCCAAGATCATGCCGGGGCTGAGCCAGGCGTTCAAGGCGCTGTCGCCGCTGGAACTGCAGCGGCTGCGGGACACGTCGGAGAGGAACCGGGCATCGAACGCGGAGGCGTACAAGGAGTGGGTGGAGGGCCACACGGTGTCGCAGATTGCGGACGCGAACCGGGCACGGCTGCACCTGAATCGGCTGGGCAAGACCACCAAGCACCGCAGCATCACGGACGCACGCCAGCCGCGGCGGCCGACGTCGTCGTTCTCCCTCTTCACCAAGGAGCGATGGGAGTCGGGCGATTTCACGGGCCGGCCGCTGGCCGATGCCGCGCGTGCTCTGTCCACCGAGTGGAAGAACCTCTCGTCGTCGGAACGCCAGGTATGTCGACGTCTTCTACCAATCTCTTTGTCTTCTTTCGAAACTAGGCTAACGAAACCCAGCGCTACGATGACATTGCCAAGGCCGAGGCCGATCGGTACGGCAAGGAGGTCAAGTCGACCTTTGGACGGACTGTAAGCAAGTCTCCGTCGCCGTCTGCGTAAAATTGACGCGGCCCGAACAATGTTTCGTTTTTTTAGAGTCGTCTGAGAAGAGCCGTTCTCATCCTTAGTTGCACCAAGTCCCTGATACTGATATTCCCTTATCGTATTTTATCCATTTCTTTTGTCATTGCCTTAATGTTTTCTTTTGCTTGAATTCTGTGCGGCCGTCGTCTCTTTCGCGGCGTTTTCAGCTATGCTTGTTTGCTGCCATGCTTTCTGAGTTTTTATGTACCCTACTCTGGGTGGCCGGGGGAGGACGGGAACAGGAACAGGAACAGGAACCGGAACCGGAACCGGAATGAGGACAGAAAAGGACCACGTTTATGTTCACTGAAGGGGCGGAACGTTAGTCTTGAGCAGTTAACTGTATTGTATGATTAGGGCCAACGGTACTTCGCTGTGCTTTGTGTATCTTCAACGAGTGAAAGTTTGCTTGTTTTTTTATCTGTATTGGCCCAGCTAGGGAAAGCATGGTATCTCGTCTCTCGATGTGTCTCATAATACATCCTCCCTCCGTTCATCCGTGTCCCATAAGTAAATAAGTGTCCCTGCAGTCGTGACAAGTAAACGCCATAATTGTACCAAGCTTGCCTAGTTAGCCCGATAAAAAATGCACCTTCATCCATACCCAATTATATCCGTGTCATATCTCATCCAATCCATTCCATATTCAGTATGTATTCGTAAAGACATCCGCGCTGCCACTCGTCTGCTTCCTCTTGCGCGGCGGCACCGTTATCGTCGGCGTACCCGATGCATCCAGCCAAACGGCGCCCGTCGCCAAGATGTGTCGTTGGCTGGCCAGGTATAGGATCAGGTAGGTGTGGCCGGCTGTAGCGGCAAAGCACGACAACCGCAACCAGGTGTGCGGGGCCGGGTCCCGCGAGCACCACACACTCCAACCGGCATCCCCAGCACCAATGTACGTTTTCAGAAACGACCAGGCCTGCTGGCGCACGGTGGCAGGCCAGCTCGCGGTGCTAAGACGCCAGTAGCCTCTCTCAAAAGGACGCACGGCTCGGCTGTCTGGCGAGGGTGATGGCCGGTAACGTCGCTCGAGGTCGAGATCGCTGGCGAGCTTCGCCATCTTGTCGGTGACCAATGCAGCGGGGTCGAGATGCTCGCATGAGACGGGCGGATCCGGCGAGATGATGCGAACTGTTTGGTCCAGATACAGTCCAGGCGCGCTCGCCGTTGGTGACGATGAGGGAAAGGGTTGTGAAAGGTCGCGGAGCGTGCCATTCGGCACGTTCATCGCCGTACCGGTTTTGCCCGGACTCGCAATAGAAGATCCCGCTTCAAAGACCAGGTCACCCCGCACTTTCTTCGGTGATGGTTGCCCAATATCGCTTGCACGCCTCGCATGCAAGTTCTGCTTTTTGTGGTCGAGACCGCTGGTCCTTATACTTTCATGATCAGACTCTCTCTGGCGTTTCGTCCTGATGGGCTCCGAATCGGCCCTCAGTAAGCCCGAAACACCCGAAACAACAGACGACGACAAACCTGCCGACAGCCCTAGTTGTTCGCAGGAAGACGACGCAACCGTAAGGACCACTTTGCCTGATTCTTCGGGCAGCGAAGATGGCACATCGACGCCAAGGCCAACAGGCTGGCCAGCTCCCAGGTCTGGTGAAGAGCCAGGAGCGGAAGACGGAATCGCGTCCCACTCGTGCAGTGGTGGGCTTCTCTTGAGAAATGTGTCATTGTCCTCGTTCCGTGGCGACTGCTGAGAGTTTGCAGACCGTTGTCCAAGTGCGAGTCTCTGTGGACGTCCTCGGTGTGACGGCAGCCAGTCCTGTGAATCCCCGAGCACCCTGTCCGTCAGATGTGCCACATCCAAGTGCATGGTGCTGAGGTCTGGGCTGGCAGCCGCGTGGATTCGGATATCGCCGGCGATGGTGTGGTTGTCCGTGACACGGCTGCTCAGCAGATCCTGTGTCTCCTCTATGCGGGTCTCCTCAACGCGAGACACGCCAAAGACGCGCTCTGACAGAGCGGTGCTGTTCTTGTCTTCGCGGTCCGTCATGCGTCTCCGTCGCGTCCGGCGCTCGTCGCCAGACTGCGAGTCTGGGATGTAGTCGTTGGGCGACACATAGTGCAGGTGTCGTTTGTGGACCTCTGGGCGAGGGGGCGGCACTGGCAAGGGCACTGGCACAACACCTGGCGACGTGACATTGTCCCATACGCTCTCAAAGGACAAGCTCACGGACCGCAATGACTGGCTGTCCGCAATTTGCCCGTCGATGGCTGTGCTGCTCACGGGTTGCCGATATTCTTCAAAACTAACAACATGCGCGGGTTCACCCGAGCTGCCGACGCGGCTGGCCTTGTCGACACTACCGACACTATCCTTCACAAATGACACCGTCCCGACATTGACTCGTGCTGCCGGCTCATAGTCGGCATATGCCTGTGCCAGGGTGCGATATCGAACATCGTCGGATGCGCTGCTGGCTGCAGCAATGTGCACCAGGATCTCGGTCGGTGGCCGTGTCATGAAGACATGTCAGGAGATTGGTGTGTGCCAGGGCGGCGAGAGATGAGCATATGAGAGGAGTAGAAAGACAGGGAGAGAGAACATCAAGAAAATGCTAAAGGTCGCTGAGAAGTCGAAGCCATTCCATTTTTCGACCGTGAAGCGGCTGACGGGACGATCATCTGAGTACTGTTTTAGGCAACTACAGGCGCCTATTGTGCGTTGTGCCTGCCAGCGTGTGAGTGAGAGGTAATTACGGAGTGCTGTAAAATAAAAAAGCGGGACCAGCAGCCAATTAGGTGCTGCAGGTAGTTAATGCCGTAGCCAGGCCATCTCACCGCCCTACGGCACACGGTGTTCGGTGCAACAGCGGGCCGCGGTGCCTGCAGATGTCTTAGGGGAGATGAATTCTGCCGCAAACTGCTAGTGCTGTGTAAAAGGGGCACGAAGAAAGCTGGCCGCATCGCAGAGAACATCACCACGACGACGACGACGACGACGACAATTGCCCACGACCTCCTCGCGCATTCGACCATTGACTCTACCATCGACTCTTCGAACCACGTCGTCTCTCTTACACATCACAAGCACTCACAATGTCGACTCCTTCGCTGGGCAAGGTGATGGTGATTGGCGGCTGCGGCTTCCTGGGCCACCACGTCGTCAACCTGCTGGTGCGCGACTACCTGCCCGAGAAGGCGGCGACGGGCGTGTGCGTGGTGGACCTGTTCTGCAGCCGCAACCGGCAGCCGGACTCTGCTGGCGTCACGTACTACGAGGCCGACATCACCGATGCGGAGCGCATGACGGCCATTTTCCGCGAATACAAGCCGGACGTCGTCGTGCACACGGCCAGCCCGCAGGCGCAGGCGTCGACCAAGGTGGCGGATGCGCTGTTCTACAAGGTCAACGTCGAGGGCACGCGCACGGTCATCGAGGCGTGCCAGGCGGCGGGCGTGCGCTGCCTCGTGTACACGAGCTCGGCCAGCATCATCTCGGACAACAAGACCGACCTGATCAACGCCGACGAGCGCTGGCCGGTGATCCGCGGCAAGGACCAGACCGAGTACTACTCGGAGACCAAGGCGGCGGCCGAGGAGCTTGTGCTGGCCGCCAACGACCGGGCATCGCCCAAGGGCCTGCTGACGAGCTCGATCCGCCCGTCGGGCATCAACGGCGAGGGCGACATGATGACCACGTTCAACATGGTCACCGTGTTCCGGCAGGGCCGCCACAACATCCAGATCGGCGACAACATGAACCTGTTTGACTTTACGTACGTCGAGAACGTGGCGCACGCGCACCTGCTGGCGGCGCTGGCCCTGCGGGCGACGTCCCTGGCCAAGACGGCGCCGCTCGACCACGAGCGTGTGGACGGCGAGGCCTTTTTCATTACCAACGGCAGCCCGATTTACTTTTGGGACTTCGCGCGGACGGTGTGGAAGCACGCGGGCAACACGGAGGGCCTCGACAAGGTGGTGGTGCTGCCCCGCGCGGTCGGGCTCGCGCTGGGGCTGCTGAGCGAGATTGTCTTTGGGATTCTGCGCAAGCCGGCCATGTTCAACCGGCAGCGGATTGTATACGCCTGCATGACGCGGTACTACGACATCAGCAAGGCGAAGCGGCTGCTGGGCTACGAGCCGATTGTGTCTGTGGAGGAGGGCATCAAGCGCGGCGTCGAGTGGTTCAAGGAGCAGGAGCGTTTGAAGGCCGGCCAGGCGTAGGTGGGAGGGCAGAGACAGGGACGACGGGAGCGATGGAGGGGATAGGAGGAAGAGGTGAAGTTGGGCCTCTGTTGTTATTTGCAACTATTCAAGACCGCAGTTGTTCCGTTTTGCTGCAGCCTTTTACGTGTCTGGCATTCATAGCCTTTAATATATTTGTCGGTGTCAAGCTTGCTTGCCACGGCTTATTTTGCTCGCTACAACAGTACGGTAGTCGTAGGATGAAGTCGCACGGTGGCGTGGGTTTCTTGAGAGTCACTCAAGGCCGCCAAGTGGCGAGGCTGACCAATAGCGCCAGAGCCACTTCGCCAACGCCAGGCTGCGATGCCCCACTATATTTGTCATTGGCTGCTTCTAAAGCAAAACCAACGACGACAAGGCGACAGCCCGCCATGCTTCCTGTTACGGACAGCCTTCCTGTCTCTTTTCTCTTACACAGACATGCGGCCACCATGAGTTTACGAGCGATCCTCAGCGGGTCGCGCGTCAAGAAGCGCTCTGCGCCGGTCGCTGCAAACAAGACGGGCAGCACGAAGAAGAAGGCTGCCTTGGCGTCAACATCTACAAAGGCATCGTCGCCATTGCCAAACAACGTGCGCCAGGCCAAGCCGGGGCGCGGACGTGGCAGTATATCAAAGAGTGCCACTCCTGTCGATGAAAATATGGACGAGGGCGGTATCGGTAACGAAGACGAAGACGACGACGACAACGACGACGATGGCTTCTTCTCTGACGACGACGAGCAGCTCGACGACAACGGCCTCGTTGCCTCCCTCGCTGACGACCTGTCCCTGCGCGACGTCGTCCAGGCCCTGCGCTATGCCCGCGGCAATATGTTTGAGCCGGTGCCGCAGGGTGCCAGGGCGTCCGCAGCAGGCCATGCCGACAGCGACAACAACAATGGCAGCACGCCAGGCGGCGCACGAACCACGACGGGATTTGTTGGCAACAGCACGCGCACAGCCGAGCTGCTCAACATGCGCCGCCGGATGCCCGCCTTGGCCACGACGGCGCACGTGGCGGCGCTGCTTCCCAATGCAACGGCCACGGAGCGCGAGACCGTGGCACTGATCCGCGCGGGGGTGCTGCGCAAGGTGGTGCAGCCGCAGTGGCGGCGCGGGTTCAGCGGCCAGCCGAATTTCGGGGACCGAGGCGGTCATGCGAACGCCCTCAGTGCGGACCCGAAGCGTGGCAGCCGCGCCCTCGTCATTGGCGGCGAGTCGCTCGGTGAAGTGCTCGTCGAGACGGCGGAGCTGCAAGCACGCGTGTGCCAGGGGCCGTCCTCGACCGGCCTCAGCGACGACACAAAAGAGGCGTTCGTGGCATGGCTGGGGGATGCCAATCCGTCGTTTCCTCCCACGCCAGCCGACCCCGCCGCCAAGCGCTTCACAATCAACGGTCACCCCGCCCCGCAGCTGGCTGTGCACATGGTCGACGAGCTCGTGCGCGCCGGCTTTCTCGTAGGCCACGGCGCTTCTGCCGGCCTCATCGGAAGCATGAGCGTGACGGGGCACCGTAGTGCAGCCGTCGGTGGCGGTAGCAACGGCAGCAGCAGCCTCCACAGCGGCGGGGGTAGCCGTCGTGGCGAACGTGGCAGCCAGAGCGACACGGGGGACGTCTATGCCCGTCCCGAGGACCGCACGACGCTCTTGAGTCTCGAAACGGTCGCTCGCGCCGCCTCGGGCTCGTTTGACGCCGTTGGCGGTGTTGGCGCTGTGTATACGGCTGGAGGAGGCGGTGCCCGGGGACGGTATCGAGCCGCTGCTGCTGGCGGCGGTCCTGCAGCAGCGCCCACCGAAGACCTTCTTCTCAGCATCCCCGGCCACGGCTCATTCGTCAAGCTCGTGTCTGGCGCCCTGTCCTACCTCATTGGCATTATCGCACGCTCGTCCCATCGCGAGACACTTGAGACGTCGCTGCGTGAGCGGTGGGACGCCGGAGGCAGCATCGCCAAACGAAGGGAAATGGGCGGAGGCTTCAAACGTGTGCCGCTCACCCGGACGAAAAAGTGGAAGGACTTTTACGGCCTCAGTTTCGATTGGGTGCTGGCGGAGGCTGTGGGCGCCGGCCTGGTGGAGCTGTTCGACACGGGCAGTGTTGGCCGTGGTGTCCGGCTGTTGTCGTGAGACGCTGGGTACTAGTTGTCTGTCACGTATAATTGCATTCGCGTATGGGAGTTGTGAGTAATGTAGTCTACGGCTTTGGGTTTACTGGCTTGTAAAATAGGTTTCGATACATATACCGTCGGGGTAAGGGGAAATATACCTTTGTTTGCGTTTATTCTTCTTTTACGGATATATACGTAATATATTTTTATTTTTATTTTATTTACTTTTACTCGGCGATATTTTGTCATCTCTCAAGAAAATGTCGAAAATTATTGAAGGCCACCACCTACGACAATTGCTACTTGTAATAATGTAACATTTTATTCGTATTTCTTGGGTGTACTTTGCTATCACATTCTTTTAGCAACTAAAATGAAGACAAAAGGGAGGGAATGAAACAGACAACAATGCAATATCGTGACTTTTCACAGTTGAAACCACCAAAATCAAACGCAACCATCTCAAATACTTTTTATGTGATCAATTGTCTTATTTCATAACCCTGAACAAAAGGTGAGGTTTCAATGGTCCCTGTTTTGAAAACTGCAACAACAACAAATAAAGGAGCCAAGAATGCCCATCATGAAACATTGGACGACAGAGAAAGCCTCTTGTCACCTCCCCGAGCCCCTCATCCCAAGCATTGCATCGCGACCCCGGCTTTGGGGCAGTAGCGGCAAGGATCATGATGCAACGAATACCGGGAACCAGACAAGGGCAAGTAAGCTCCGCTAAATATGCGAAAACAAGTAAACAATTCAAAAGCCAACTAAAAAACGGGCACAATACACTCGCCCTGTGTCCTTTCTTTCTTCCCGTCTCAAACTCCAGTGCCAATGAAGAGGATCACGGAAAGGCTATCCGAGTTTGATCAACTTAAAACACAATGCACATCTTTCGCTACCTCGGCCATGTCACTTATAACTGTTGTTTCTGTGCCACAAATCAGTTCCAGATAATGCCCTGCATCGGGACTTGGGGTATGATGGCGATCACTTCAGGACTCCAGGTCTTACTGTTTTCGAAATACATGCATCCTGTTTGAAACCCACATCCCATGATTTCAGATGTTTTGTTCCTTCACATCTTCAACAAGCACTCACCCTGTTCCTTTGTCACGGCACTCCAGCCTCCCAGTCTCATCCAATCCTCCCGCAAACACTCGCCGCCTCCGTCCGTCATCCATCATACACGGCCCGTGTGAAAAATGGTCCCAACTGCCCGCCACGGCTTGGGTTGTTACCAGTCGACCCTGAGACCTTGCCATCTGCGTCGCCCGAAATTGCGCAAGCCTGTTTGTCGGGGCCAAGGCGCAGATGATGCTTGTCGGTCCCCCTTCGCCTCGCCCGGACTTTTTTTGCCCTCTTCATCACCCTCTTTATATGTGGCCATCCTTGTATCGCAAAAAATCCAAAATATTGAGCTGGTGCTGCAACTAAAACACAAGGACGACGTTGTCAACCGGCTACACATTTCCCTCAAAAAGCGCACACGGTCGGGACGGGTTTTGTCTGGTACAGGGCGTCTTATTTCTTCGCGTAATTATTGATACAACTGCACGAGATAGGGGTCTGAGACAGAAACTCTGTTGTGCTGATGGTCGAGACACGGCCGCCGTTGCTCGCGGAGGCCAACAGACAAACTCGCCAATGGCAGCAGTAGGTTGCTTAATGCACTGACTCTTTGCGCCTCTTTGCAAATATGCTCGATGAAGGGCAACAGAAGGGCAACTGCAAACCGGGACGAACACCTTTGTACAGATCCCCGATGTCTGGAATACCGAGCCCGGTCCTTTGAATCCTGTACGCCGTGGCCCCTCTTCTGTATGTCTCACCTTGGAAAGGTAAGGGAGAGACATGGTCTGCGGAGGCATCCACCGCCCTTTGAATCAAGAACACCGGGCAAACTCTGCCCGTATCCCCCAACCGACACCAAGATCTTCACCGTGCAGAGAGCTTCTGCAGACTGCCAAGTCCTCCCTTGCATCACCTGCGCACTGGCGCGACTGTGGGGTATTGGCTCATGACAAAAGAACGACAGCAGTCATTCCGACCTGCAAGGCGGGTGGTGCTCGTGATATTGGCGGCAACGGCAAGTATTGACCGCCGCCGCATATTGTCGATGTACTATTACTGGCTTTTGGTTTCGTATGTGTCAAGCAGAGTCAGTGGCAGCAAACCGGGCGAAATGCAATGTAGATCGCACTTGGTTTTATTGTAAACCTGCTGCAGGAAAATGGGTTGTGCAAATGGAAGTTGTGAATAGTATGTACCAGCTGGTGTTTGAACGCTTTGTCAACTGCGAGCATTTCATGCAACTGGATGTTGCCGCCCTCCGCATTGATAAGTCTGGACCTGAACGGCAACATATTGCAAAATGTCGAGCTCGCCCGGTCTAATCTGGCCCTGCATCAGTTAATAAGAGGAAAGGGGGTAAGGTTTGAAAGGCACTATTGAAAACGCACACCGAGAAGGCTGGTTGTAACCTTGGGCAGGGCAGAGCCAAAAGAAAGAAGGTCGTATGTGTGACAGGAGGTCAATGCGGCGGCTTTGTTAATGTTTGACATTAGCCATCTGCACGAAAGAGGAGATGTAGCGGATGTGATATAAGATGAAATGAATGGGCGAAAAGATGTAAGAGAAGCCAGCGACGAGAGGTGCCGACTAAATCATGCTTTGTAGTATGTAGAGATACATGGTGCGCAGCCAGACGTTGTGCTTCCGACTGCCCAGGGTCCACGCGACGACATGAGAACATCACGGCTCTGACAAGCTGATTCATTGTCCCTCTTTTGTTTCCACCTGCCTGTCGACTCAATGTCGCTTGTCTGGTTGTCTCGTCTCTTGTGTTCCCCTCTCAAACGCACTCTCATTTATCGGATGCAACATTTTGCCAACCAACCACGTGCGAGGCGTCATGCAACCGAAGACCCAGGACCAGGGTTTGCTTTCCTATGATTGCAGTTTGCGTATGTTGTACAGGTTTCCGTCTCATTGTTGCTCATACCCCCTTTCTTCCTGCAGCGTGTTGTACAAGCGGTGCGGTTAAAACTTTCGTGGTCAAATCTTGGGGCTTCTGATAAGAAGAGTGATACGTCGTACGCAATGCGAGGTAATGTTGTATTTGACACATTCTTTGGTCGCATACAGTCTTTCTGCCAACAAGATACTACCCTTGTCCCAAGCTGCACCGCGCAACATCGTAGGAACAGCTGCGTTCAGCTTCGTAAATCGAGGTATGCACGAGAGATGCGTGTATTGCCTCAGCAGGTGTACAGAGTACTTCCACTTGCCATTCCACCTCCTGTAACTGGAATGGATGCCCAGCACTGTCGGGGCGTTTTTATGTATCTTTCCAATATCACACGCCGACGTTGTATGAAAGCAATATTGGACGAAACACATGAAAAGAAGACACAGAAACGAGGAGAGACGGAAGTCGAAAGAAAGAAAACATGGGGAAATGGAAAATAGTCCGCTGAAAGGTCACCCGTTCACATTTCGGATGGCATTCCCGGATCCTCCCTTTCCACTTTACGCATTCCTTATGGCCCGTTCACGAATTGGATGATGCGTGCACACCAAGGAAGAGGTGTGTTTGGACCAAACTTTAATGTTTTGTAAATGTAAACCCCTCGAGGAGCTTAGTTGTAAATACCGTAATATCACCAATGTGGAGGATGTTGCGGAGTGAGATGAAGTGGTCGGAACGGCTGCATGGTTGCACGGATCGTTTTCAAATAGATGAAAACGGAGACAAACCGGTTGCCGTGTGGAGATAAGCGCTCGCCGCTGAGGTGGCATGAGCGAAGGTGTGTTGCGCTAAAAGAAGGGACGACCGAACACCATGGCTGGAAGCTGGAAAGGCAGATCAACAACGAACAGACTCCAGGACCAGCAAAAGAAGGACCTTTTGGCTGGGACAGATGCGAGTGGGTATGCGGTCGTGCGTTCAGTATGTAAAATGTACAAGATCTATTCATAGCCTTGTGCCCAAACTATTCGCATCTGGAACCAAACATGCTCGTACTCCGTACTTGCAACGGTCCTCGCACAATATCAATGCACTTGGTTGTCTTGCTTGGTGGTCAAAATAGACGGCTGTACTCGTACAAGCCGATCCTCAAAACGCTCTCCGCGTGGAGGAACATCGCGCTCCCGGTGGCAGGCTTTGCACAGGGCAGCTGGCATCCCGTGATAGAATAGCGTGGTTCCGTCTCGTACTCGCCCAGGATGGAGTTCTGAGAGACGAGACAGTCTTGCCAGAGCTCCACATTAGGACCAGGACCAAGTAGCCTTTCGGGAAGCAGTATTGTGGTCATAGGTAAGAAAGTTGCCGCCAGGGCTTTGCGACTGCCCTCTTCGCTTGAAGCGTACATCACAGGTAATGCATCGTACGATGTAAATACTTCATACATCGTAGATGGCGACCCTTCGCGAGGTACATTGTAAGCAGAAAACAGAATCAAAGAGACACAGGTCAACAAGACCCGTCGGGCTGCCAAAAGGGTGGGTCGGAGAGCATTTCTTGGGCGGCAGCTCTCCTATTTACCCCTGGTCGATATGTGCACGGACCCGAGCCTCGAGATGGAGGGTGGATACCACGATGGACGAACGGACGGCAGACACAACAGGGTGACAGACGAAAAAGGACAGACGCGAATGATTGCAAGCGGGCACGGAAATTGCGGTGCTGGGTTTTTGTCGTGGAGAACCATAGCCTGTGATTTCTGGTCGTACGTGTAGACCCCGTTCTCAATCCTCGTTCGCCCTTTGCCGACTTTTGGCCCCTCGTACGTCTTTTTGCTCATTTAACATTCACACCCAAAAGGTGAGTTTTCTTTTGTCACCGGGGACACCATCGGGTGATACCTAGTGGAGTGTGCAGCGGTTGACAGTTGAGGTGACGCACACCCTTTGAGTCCATGTTCTCATCTTCACCTTCCAGCAAGCTTGCACTTGGACTTGGCGGGCCAACGGTGGTGAGGTTGCCTTTCGAGTATTGCCTGAGCCTGGCTCAGGCCATTCCTAGAAAAGGAAAAGGTGGGCTTCGCATACAAGCTGAGGCCATCAGGTGGTCAGAGAGATTGAATGGTCGCAGAAGTGGACTTCCCGACTGATCATGATGCTTCGATCTCGAACGAAACGACAAGAAACTGAAAGCATTCATGCTTCGAAATCTTTTCTACTGTTTCACCATTTGCACGGATCGCGAATCCAATGGCACAGGTCTGCTGTATCTGAATCGCCAGTACCGTCATCGGACCATTGCTTACTCGCCGTGGCTTGGTGGACGTCATTTGTGCATTCCAGTGCGCTCCTTATGCATGCAGGTTCTGGGGCCTGCAGCACGATTGTGCAGGTACACCGACCGGCTCGGTGCGGAAATGGTGTAAGAGCACGCCGTATCATATGTCGCAGTGTTCGTCGGGGTGGGAGGTGGAAGAAAAAAGGTCGAAATGCAGGGGGCGAAATCAACGCCAGTAGTATATTGATGTGTGGGCCACCCGCGCCAGTTCTTGCCGGCAGCAGTTGGCGTGTGCTCCTGCATGCATTGCTACGGAGTAGCGCAAAAGAGTGCAGGCAAGGGCGCACACTTAACCCAGCAATACATTTAATATTGGCTCTGATTTAACCTCTTTGAAAACGTGTGTCTTTAGCCTTGGGCCGCTTGCTCTCTACATCGTGAGATATGTCGTACTGCATCGTGACTTCCATGTCGTATATCAGTTGGTGTCGTGTTCCTTCGCTGTTTCCTTGGGTTTGCAAAACGGAGCTCTGGTAATTCCAAACAAGCACGCCAGCTTACAGAGTCGCGCTTGCCGCCACTGCCGAGACGTTCCGATTTCTGGTGCGGAAGGTGCGAAGAAGAATAAACACGTTATCGACCCGCAAGTAACAGAAAGGTCCCTACGATGTACGTTAGCACAGCCCTTCGAGCCCACCACAGCGGTCGCGAGCCACGAGCATCCCTGAAGCTCAAGCCAAACTTGGTCGGGCATGAACAACGCTGGGGGATAAAAACACAAGGACAATTTTGACGATAGTGGTGAAGCAGACTGACTGGCCCCTTTTGTCCCCTGTCGACCCCCATGCTCAAACCTGCCGAGAGGCCCTTGTTCGTAGTAATTAGCTGAAAAGGGCAATAGGCGTGCCAGGGACGGCACTCCAGAACGAGGGGGGAGTGGGGCCAATGGGTGATCGACCAAATTGGCTACCACTATGGATGTGATTGACACAGAAGGAACGATGGTGCACTTGAAAAAAAGCAAAAGAACCGACGAGAGGACGAGAAAGTGCTGGATGAAAATGGCCGCAGAAAGCGAGCAAGATCAGGAGCAGGAGGTGTTCAGAGGAGGGGCTGCAGGATTGACGATGAAGTAAGAGAGAGAATGACTGGACAGGAGCGCATCAGGAACGAAACACACCGTGAGTAAGATATCTTATGTTTTCCACTCGATAGGCCTCTCCCGGTCGCTGTTTCCTCTTTTTGCCTCCCCGTTGGGCAGGACAAGAAGCCAAAGTGGAGCATGTTATGGCCTTTTTTTCGTGCTCACAAAAGCAAATTGCGGGCAACCTCGCAACGTCAATACTAAAATAAAGAAAATACAGTGTAGAGAAACAATGCTCTCCGTTTTGGGATCGTGCGCCTAAGATGCGTCGTAGTTGTGGTCACGGAAAGCTTCGACCCCAGTGAGCATATCCCATACAGAAAAGTGGCATGGATGTCTTTCTAGTGCCTAGCGTGCCTTCCAAGTCGACTGTTCCTGGCCCACGCCGTCGCGGGCAGCGCCTTCCCGTCAAATGCCCACATGCTCCTATTTTTTGGGATAGTATTGTTATTTTCCGTGGTGCCTGCCCACTCAGCGCATCTTTTAGAAAGTCCACATGGTGCCGTTCTCCGTGCAACAGCCAACCGACCAACTGGCAGGGACACTCGAGCACAGAGAAAAGGGGAACATACTAGCCTAACTTGTAGGTGGCCAGGCTGACCTTGTTTTCCTGGCGCTCTTTCCTTTCTCGACACTCCAGTCTTTTTCTGGGTATCACCCGTTTTGGGCCTTTTCCTCGGTTTCCCTCTTGTGTTCTCTTTCTTTTCTTTCGCATCGTCTCTTTTGTCCTTTCTCACCACTTTGTCATCCGAACATCCATCGCGATCTGGCTCGCCATCTCATCTGTGCGTTTCAACCAGCCCGCGTTCAAAGCGCGGCTCGGCCTGGCAGATATACACCCGCCTACGACTACACGACATACAAACCGCCAGCAGATACTCTCCACGACTGCGTCGACGTTACGAATTCCTACCACAAGGTACGACATACATGCTTCCCGTCTCCAAATCAATCCCAGAACTTCCCCGTCAGTCACCCGACACCCTCGTTCGCTCGCCCGCCCCTCTGCAACGAAGAAGAAGTAGATCGCGTCCTGTTCCACACATAGTCGTACTCCCACGCACTGCTGTTTTGTCGCGTTTCCGTCCTCGTGTTTCCATTGTTTCGTGTCACTCTCGAGACCCAGGCAGCAGATACAGCTTCTACTTTTCCTTTTACATTCTATTTTTTCCCACCTCTCTTTTACGACGTCGTGGTCCGTACGTCGTGCTCCTGCCCTGTCTTTACGACTTGTCGTCATTTTGCTTTTCCGACTGCCGCTCTTGTCTCTCCCTTTTCCTGCCCCCTCCCATCACAATCGGCGGTTGGACTGCATTCCTACCTTTGCTCGCTCTTCCCTCGGCGCTCGTGTCTCCCTTTCTACTAGATCTGCCAATGACCTGGCTCGCTGTGTGAAACAGGCCCGAGATCAGCCCAGTCGGTCCCCTCTTATGTCTAACATTTTGTGCAGTACCCATCGCTTAGACTGTCGCTCCCAACTACACACTGCCCAACTTCGGCCTCTTGCACATGTCTTTAAACCTCGCGTGGCTCCCTAATTGTCTGTTCGACAGCCACCGCTAGACTTTCTCAGCTGGCGTCTCCCAAACAGAGTCGTGGATAAGCGAGTCCCTGGGCGAAAAGGACGTGATAGAGCAGGCCCGACTGCTAAACTGCACGATCTTTCGATCCCTTGCGTTCGCCCTGGAGCCGCGCACGTCAGATTAATAACTCTCGATACGTCAATCCGCCCGATTTTCTGTCAGTTTTGTGCAGTTTTCCCGGATCGACAACCGCGATTTCTTTTTGGGGACCTGGCTTCCGGCACCAAAGGACGAATTTCAGCTTTGGCTTACCCATGTTCGTCGCTGGTTGCTGCGCCCTCGACATAGTTGCGCTGAAACCGGAGTGCTCAAGCGCTTGCATTAAGCCGTTGTGCTGTTATGCATGCGCAGCGAAACCTTAATTGTGGCTCGGTATGACCTGTACTCCCGCTTGTTTCTCGCATGTTTGCAAACCCCACGAAAGATTTGCAGAGTATCCCTACATTTTAGGGGGAAGGCTGGAAATCTCGTCTACCCCTATCATGCTCATGGACTGGTTTGAGTCTGCCTGAACTTCGAGCTAATCTTTGCTCCTTTTCTATTCACAGAAAGACACCATCTCCTTCACCCTATCCAACCTTGCGAGCGTAAACCCAACGACACTTCGCATAACGACGTTGCAAAGGCGACTAAACAAACAGACGGTCCTGGTTCACAAATCGCACTAGAAATCCCGGACTGCATTTCTCGACCTTTCTTTCCAGTTTTGTTTCCACCATCTGGTCTTTTTCTGCGTGGCCTGTTTTACGACGACTGAATGCTTGCCATATCTCGACGATTCTGCCAACGACACCACTGAAGAACTTACGAATTCATGGACAGCAAATTCTGACTTCATAGAGATTCGATAGACGACACCTGCTCGACACCACTCAACCGTCTCCGAGGCACTGCTCAATCTTTCCCGTGCTGCACCCGTTGTACGTTGCTACACAACGCCCAAACGACACATCATGGCTTCAGGCCTTCCGAGAACGACGCGGCCATCAAACGCCCCGCCAGCGACAGCGCTCCCAGCTCTTCCGATGGCGAAGACACGAAAGAGTGTGGGATCCCTTCCTACGCCAACAGTCGACAAGTCCACCCCAAGCACACCCCGGAGTGGTCTCCGAGCACCATCTGTTTCTGGCGTTTCCAACGCTGCGTCACAAAGTTTGACCCCCGGTCTTCTTCAGCCCCGCGCTGTCTCCGGTATCAACGGCGCCGGCAAGACTCTCAGAAAGAGTGTCAGCATTAACTCCTTCCCGCAACCACCAAGATCTGACAACCGGGGAACAAGTTTACCCCCAAGTCCGTTGTCGAATGGGGCCCCTTCTAGTCGGAAGCTGAAGACGCCAACGACTCCCAACTACACATTTGGCAGCTCTACGCCAAGTTTGTTGAACGGCACGGGCGAGGGTAAGTCCGTGGCTCGGCCCGGCCAGCGTAGCTCAGATGGACTCA